ATATTTTAAAATGAAACTTCAATTGTTCTCAATGTTCTTATATTTCTCGAAGGTTCTTCATAATCACATTGTTCAATGATACGCACTCTCTGAACAGTGAATTCTGCCGTCGTGCGTCCAGGCGTCATATTTATACCAAGATTTAAACATAGTTCTATTCTCCTTTTAAACAATCTTTGAATTCGTTTTACTTTTAACATTAATCATGAATACTAATAAGTTTTTATAATAATTGATGACAGGCTCAAGTTATGTTCATGTCGCATCCGTTATTTGAGCTGATAGCGCCGATATATATTTGTGTGTGTGCGTGTGCGCGTGTGTGTGTGTATAAATCACGAAAATGTATGAACAGACAAATGAAATAATGAATTTAACCATGCTACATTAACATTTCAATCTATTCCTGTTTAAATCACAAATGTAACATAATTATCACGTTTTGAAGCAAAGCAATTAACACGAATGGTTACATCAAAATACACTAAAACCAAGTTGATTGCATTTCACCAAAATATTTAAATAATTACTCTGATGTAAGTCTCTCAATCAAATTTGAGCCTTTAGCTAAGTGCAAGCATCTGTAACGAATGAATCTTCTACAGTCCGTTACTATTCTTCTAACTGACATGATACACTTTGTTCATAAATTTTTTAGCTATTCTAAAACGATTGATACGAAATTTTCATTGAAGATTTATATAATAATTCTCATAACATGAAATATTTTATCTAGTGATAGCGTTTACTATGGCATTACATTTAAAAACGGTAAATATATACGAGCGCAGTCTTTATTATTTGGTGAGTAATGTTCTGGTCTAAATAAGTCTTCTACAAAGTATAAGCTAAATATTACTTGGTAAATTGCATGTTATAAATACTAGTGATCTTTACTAATTTCTATGCTGTTCTTTTTTTGTCTCTTTTTGTATGTATTTTTGGTAGTTTAAGTATAGTTCTCTGAGAAATCTTTCAAAAATATCCCACTTTGCAGCCTCTTAGAACCCTCACGTCCAATGCTATGAAGAACATTAATGTGCCGTTCTGTTCCTACAAAAATGTATCGTTTATATATAACTGTAGGTCTTTGTTGATTTACTGCCTTGCCTACTTACGTATTCCACGTCGATAGTACTACCAAAAAGTAAGTATTTTAAGAAAGCTTTATATTGTAGTTTATGGGGAAAGAGAAACTACTAACAATAGATATTTGACTTAAATAGTATAGGAATAATTCTTATGTTCGATATATTATAACATGTTAATTTTGAATTAAAAACGATATCAAAATTTGAACTACTCAAAACCTTGTAAGTCATTGATCAGATAAAATCAAAGATATTTCAACGTACTAGTTCTCACATAACAAATTAAAAGAAAAAAAAGATAATGGTACTCAATACTTCACACATCCCTTTGTAAAAAGTCATTAATCTTGAGTACCCTTAACATTTTTGATCATTAATTTTATTGATCATTTGATCAACATTTGATCGATCCAAATATTAATACCACACTCATGCTAAATTTAAAGTCACCACTGAAGTCAATCGATCGCATTTATATTTTAAAAACATTACAATTTCAATCTTAAATCTAAATGTTAGAATTGAAAATGCTCTGATCATAAATGTTATTTATGATGCAAAGAAAAGTGGTGGTGTGGACCTAAAATTACTGCAACATACTTTGTTATTCGTATTTCTAAATATGACAACTAGCACTTAAAATAAGTATAGCTAAATTTATATTTAACTGTATATAAAAATCTAAATAAACAATAGGCTTCATTGTATTTAAAATAATAAAAAAAATTAGGATACTTTATTGATATTAAAAGTTGCAGCAAAGAAATGAATAAATTTAGTTTGATCTTTAAATTATTATTTTAATTTTATATTTCTTTTGATTCAAAATTTAACAACCCAAATGTAATGGAACTTTGTTTTTGAGAGGAATAAATTATATTGTACAATTCGATGGAATTTTGGTCAATTTGCGAACCTCAAACTTGTGAATCTACAGAAACTAGAAATGTATTGCTAGAGAACAAAATGTTCTCACGATACCGCAACAGTTGTTGTAAATTGGTTGTTTGATATTTATATTCAAAAAGACTATACCAGCCGCCCTGGTTTACTTGATATTTCTTGAATATATCTTTACATACATTTCGTAAACAATAAAAAAAGTTCTTTTAAGTAAGAGTATCTACAGATAACTTTTTTTGATAATCAGAGATAATTAATCTCATGAAACCGTCAAATATAAATTTATTAGTTTTAACTTTCAATTGAATTCCTTTGGTAAACCAAACAGCCATGAACGCATATTTTACTGCAGATTATTCTTAAGTTTATATTAATAATAATGAAATAAATGTTTTATCTATATTAAAATATGTATTTAATGAAATATTTTAGGTAACGTTGTAAATCACGAAATAGGAAACGCTTAATTAAATATGTCCATGTGGTGAAATGATTCCCGCTAACAGATTATTTGATCCAATACACAATAGTACTCAAAATTCCAAACGAATTTGGCAAAGCTTTGTTTCTGAAATAGAAATCGCCTATATGTCAACAGTTGTCAACCACTGTCGATTGGTATTGAAAAATATTGTAGGTAATGCGTTTATACGACGTTTGATTCTGTGCTACGAATTTATAGAACTTCAAATTTTTTGTGAATTGAAAGGTTTTAATTGCATATTGTTTTGAAAACTTTAGTTTTTGTTTATAATTTTTAACAAATTTTTTTATAATGCAAAAGGGGTAAGTGTGATTCCTCTTAAACGTCGTACTGACAACCCTGGGTGTGACGTTATAAGAAACATGTAAAAAAGATTGATACAATATTAATGAAGGAGGGAATACACGCACTATTATCAAATTTTACAACCACCACTAACATATATCAATTTTTAATTATACTTCTTATTAAAATCATACCGCATTAATATAATCAACTACTATGTATTATATTTCTAACTGCTTTCCTCTTCAATATAATCTATTTAAACAAGCACAACGTAGTAATGAAATTTCTTATTTAATTAATACAAACAAATACACAATCTTTATAGTTATGAAAAAAATCTGTTCAATAAGTTAGCCTAACAAAATAAAAAACTTCAGCTCCATTCATCAACTAGACTCACATCATATATTAGTTAAAAATTATAGAACTTATCTAATTCTACAAATGCATTTAAGAATGTAACATTAACCAACATGACAGGACAGAAACGATTAAATATTTACTAAAAGAAACATTTAAATTGGTCCATCGAGTTAATTCGATTTCATTGATCCCCATCAAGGTATTAACGAATGTTTGCAACACGGCTTATGCTACAATCGCTAATGACGAACGTTAAAGGTTTGCGGAATACACTTGGATTTATTTACACTTCCTATACAAGCTCTTGTTCACTTGTTTTAGTGTATTTTTGGACTAAAAAAACAGCACGTGTTGATATTGTAAATGTTGGCAATTTTAGATAGTTGCAATGTTACATATGTATATTTATAAGGGACCATCGAGGCACTAATGTAAAAGTAATTATAAAAAAATAAGTGTCAGAAAAAAATATTTTATGGTATTCTACAATAGTCTGGAATAAAACTTTTATATAAAGGAAACCAGTGGTGGCCTAGTGGTTAAAGGGTCCGCCTCTCGTTGCCGAGGGCACGGGTTCAAACCTGGCAAGTACCAATGTGATTTTTCGGAGTCATATGTACTTTCTGAGATTATTTAGACACCACTGACCTACGGTGAAGGAAAACATCGTGAGGAAACCTGGACTTATAGTTTCACAATTATAAGTTTGAAATCACCAACCCGTCGTGAGCAAGCGTGGTGATTAATGCTCAAACCTTCTCCATGTGAGAAAGAGGCCTTTGCTCAGCAGTGGACGCTGATAGGCTGATGACGAATAAAGGAAACCTATTCCTTGCTAAAACAAACAATTTTTATTCCAAAAAATTTCATTAATGCTCTTTTATACATACAATAAAATCATTTCTAAGAAATATGGACGCTACAACAATACCTAATAAAGCCATTGAAAGATCTCGTCAACCCTCCATTTCAATACGAAAAAAAAAAATACTTAGCCGGTATGATATGAGATTAATGTAAGCTAAATTATTATGTATAAATGATTAATGAGCAAACAAAAAGTTTTAATAAGAGATGAGAAACATCTAAATGACGTAAATCCTGTTCTAAATCCTGCCTGTTGATGGCTCTGTCACTTCAAACAACGTGACGGCTAATTGGATCACGTTTGTAAACGAAGCTCCCGGTCCGCTCCTGGAAATATTTGCTCTTTCTAAAATTGACAAATTTATCGCCGCACATTTTTGAATTCGTTTTTGGAATTACGGAACATATATTTAGAGTTCTTCATTTCTATATACATAATAGCAACCACCTATTTATCAGAAAAGACATTAATGCAAAGTTCCTTCCATCAACAATTTTGTCAAGTCCGCAAAAAATGTATAGTTATTTGAGTTGTTCCATTCAGACAGCATCGTTTAAACGATTGAAGGTGGTATGATTGTAACTCATATTCGATGGCTTGACCGTGAATGCACCTGTCATAGTAGATGAGATTTAAGTAGCGTTTATACCTATCTGTTGTATAGTCAGCACCTTGAGTTCACCTAAACTCCAAACATATTTCCATTTTTCTACCCTTTACTGACTAAAATCCACTAGAACCTAAAACGACTATCCACATAAAGCTTTGCTAGTTGTTCAACACTAAACATTCTGCCAAAATGGTTTCTGATCAATAAGACAAAAGAAACTTTAGATACTAAGATAAGATTCATCAGCTCTTAGTAAAACGAAGTATTGTTTTAAAAGTTTAACGGTTGAGATTTTACCTGCGATACTGTAAATGCCTGTAAATTTTATAAAAATAGTAAGAGAACACTATGTACAGTATTAAGTACCAAAAAGATCAATTTTGGTCAAATAAAATGTTTTCAAAGAATATGGAAGAAAGAATCCCTCTTATAAGAATTCAGGTGAGTTGAAGAATCTGCAAGATTCGACCGCTCCTGTGTCGACAGATAAGTTAATCCAAACACTGTCAGTGTGGTGGTAGTTTAAGAGATTTTATGAATCAGTGATACGGAACATATTCTGGTGACACTACTTCAATAGACCCTCTTTCAATACAATTGATCTAGATATATTACGTGTAGTGTGTCAGAAAAATGCAAAGTAATTTAGGAAAATCAGTAACAGAACCGAAACAGTTTGCAGATTTTAATTAAATTGGCTATGGAGTAACTTCAAAATGATCTTGGTTGTTTAAGAAATAATTATTACGTATTAGAATTAGAAGAGTAATAACGGTGTTTCATTGTTGCAGGCTGAAGAGGGCACGACAAGGGCCTCTGAGGGTGAAGAGAATGATGTCAGCGAGGTCAACCCTGGGTCGTCCAGGGGTCTGTCAGCGGCGACCTCCAGGGAAGATGATGATGACTCCAGCAACAACGCGAGCAACGAGAGCAAGAGCCCTGGACAGAGGTGAGCCAGTACATCCATCACAAAAACCATTATAAATAAAATATACCATATATTCAGATTATACCAAATGTATCTAATTTTTAAAATTAATATATGTACTGTGAAAATATTTCTAAATTGACGATTCTTTCATATATTATGTTTATGAGATATTGTTGTGTACCTTATGTTTTATTGTTAATTTAAATCGTGGACATCTTTCGCAATCGTGGAATGAATTTATAAGATGAACTGTATCACGGTTGAGTTGTGTTAAGATTGTACTGTTATTATTAAAAAGTATTACTTAATAAATAATTTAAATATGATTAATTTTTAAAAAAAAGGTATTGAAGAGAAATTTGATATAATGTAATCAAAATTATTGATATTTTGTAGATATTTTAATTCAGCGTACACGAAATTTTCCAACGAAGCAAATTTAGTCGTCATCATGAAAATCAAAATTAATTCATACATTTATTCATGAAATACAACATTTGGAATGTAATTGTAATAACACATGCCATTCCACCAGTACGGCATATTTCTGTACAAATAAACAACATATTTTGTATATATATGCATGGCATGTTAGACATACTTAGCTAAATTCAGACATGCAGATATATCTATATAGTTCTGATAATTCTACATCGAATATTTGCCTTAATCTCAGATCCGAATACTTCATACCGTGGCTAGTTTACTACACGATGCAATTCACTAATGAAATTTGAATTGACGATCATTATGAGATATTTTTTTGATAATACTTCCTAATTTTGTGTTTCATTTGAATAAAAAGATATAATACGAAACTGTGTAACTAAAGTAAAAATAATTATATATTATTTTTTTATCGTAGTGTGTATGTTGTTATATGTATTTTATATATTAAAATGCGTATGCGAAGTGTATTAAACAAATTTTTTTGCCATATATAGCTTAAGTATTGTATATTATAATTAAGGAAATTTTGTCTAAAATAATATATTTTGAATTATTTTCACCAAAAACATAAATGTATGTTCTATTTTAATCTAAAGAAATTGGATTTCATATTGTACATAAACGAAATTGGTTTATGCGGAATGACATTTAACTTTCTTACAAAACTTTTTAATATCTGTCGTGAAAACTTTTCATCACTTCAGCTCATCAGTTTTCTTGGACTGTGTCAAATGGATCGCAGTTAAAATATGATTTAACTTATTGCGTTCGACTGAAGCTATGGCCGCAGTTAGAATAATCACTTGTGTCGTTATAATATTATGAATGCGAAAGTTTTTATGTTGGATTTTATGTATGTGTTGTTTCATGTTAAAAATATTAAATGAATTTCAATTAAGTCTTATTTTATATATTATAAGAATAATATATAGACAATAGTTTTGTAAATCATCTAAAGTACCTGCGGGGTTGCAGCATAAAGCTATAGCTTGTATGAAATGAAGTGACAACCGTATACAGATATTATTTCTTTCAAATCTCAATATCAAAGTCATGGACAAAACATAGGAGAAACAATTTTTGAAATGACACGACAAAACCAGATCTAATTATGATACTCATAAATATAAGTACTTATATAAGTACTTATAAATTAATAATAGGTAAAAAATCTATACATTTGTCTTTTTATAAGAGAAATTCCACAGCGTTTATAGAATAACTATCAACATGATTAATATTCAGTTATAATACTTACTTAAATTTCATAACTATATCAAAAAGTAAATCTTTACAAAACGGAATGAAGTTTCTGACGTACTCATAGCGTTGTCTTTGACCGTAACTGATCTGGATTTCTTAATAAATCAACTATATTTGAATTACCAAAGATTTTATTGAACACAATCAATGCTAAGGTCTAATACTCTTCTATTTCGGTCCCCGCGGTCGGATTTTCATTACAATAACAATGGCACTCATAAATATGAAATGCATTCACAGCCCCTGTATCTGAATCAGTTATTTAATTTCCACGCCTACTGAGAACGATTGAAATGGCAACCGGAATATTTACATGAGAATGGTATTTTAATATGATTTGCTTAATTTTGATATTCTTGAGTTGGGTAGTTGATTCGAATCCTGGAAGTGTTGATAGATTTTTCATTAATATGAGAATATTATAAAGTATTGAATAATAATAAATCTTGAAGACAATGATTATATCACATTGTTATGTAATGAAAATTCCAAGAGCAACTTTACAAACAATCGTCCCTGTAGATCAAGATCATTTAGAAGAAAGAGAGCAATTTCTTTGATATCTGATATACAAAAAATATTAATCAATAAATTAAGATATAGAATATATTACTTCTCCGAAACATATATATATTTCAAGTGCTTTTCATTGACTTGTATACTTATTGTTATAAAATTCCGAAATATCTAAACTATTATATTTATATAATTTATTGTTGCTTCTAAATTAAACTCGCTAAAGCAAAATGATATCTAAGATTTTTGCGTAAACACATTTAAATGAAACTAAGGTTTTCGAATACTGCTCCTTTTTTATTATTTTATATCTACATGATCCCTACGTTTCGTACCCTTACAGCCAACCCTGATCACAGGCAAACGAGATGACAGTATCGAGATGAAGATTGTTAAAGAAATTCCAACTAAAACAAATATCTTGCGAGTAAAAAATTAGACCACTCTTCCTTTTCTAAGATTTTACAACGAAATACCACACGCTCGTCAGAATTTTTTGGAAATAATATTGGAAATGGAAATAATGTAATGATAATTCTTCATAAAATAAAGATTCAACAGTTTTCACTATAAACAAAATAAAAATTTGTTACAAAATATCCTCCAGTTTCCTCTCAATCAAATTGTCTGGATGAAAAATACGAAGACATTTCAAGCAGAATAAATTTTTTATGTCTGTTCCAGATTCTAGTTTATAAAGTTTAGAGAAATTAAATATTCTTCTTCTTGAAACTACTTCTCGCAAGAACTGCTGAAGAATTTATTTGGGTCTATAAAATTAACTATATAGACGTGGCTTTAACTACTACCATTGATTTTAATTTACTCTATAGATAAAGAACGATTTGTCGAAAGTTTTTCTTTCAAATCTCATTTTATTTTCATAAGAGATTAATGAAAATCAATCCCATTGTATATTATCTCTGTTCATATCACTTGTCATTGATATACGTAAAGAAATATTGTAGGTTAACAAGCCAATCGGCAAACAGCATTGTTATGTTCCGTTCCCATTTCGTCATTGGAAGCCCTTCGCACAATGATGAACAATAGAAAACTTGTGTTTAAGCATAAAAACTTGCTTCGATTTTTCCAAGAAACATCTAAACAATAAAATTTTCCTACACACAATAGTATTCTTTATAGTAATATTTGAAATCTTTGTCCAGTTAATTTGAGAGTATTTGCTACACCAACAATTTATTTCTAATTTGCAATTCAATCCCAATATTAAGTCTTTCTGGTCATCTTGCGTTTGTATTCAATTATTTAGAAATAAAACATTTATTAATCATTATAAGTGATGTAACAGTAAGTTTACGTTTAACTTTTCATACGGGATAGTTCATTCTATTAATTGGCGTCATTAAAGTCCCATTGATCGTAAAAATCTCGAGAGTAATTGATGCCATTACCCTTCGCTCTCCGCTACTCCTTTTATTTTATAGTGTTTCATTATAGAAAATGTTCTAAGCTAATACTATCAAAAATTTATACATGTGATTCATAAAAAATATTACAGTCATTTTAAGCTTACAAATTATACATTTCCAATAATGTGATATGGATGTCTTTATGAAGCATAATAAAATAGTTTTTTAACATAGAATTATAAAATAGTTTAGAATAAATTTGACAACATATAAAACTGTCGTCTTTCTTTTAAGTTAAAAACTTTTGTAAATTTTAAATGTGCCAAAAAGTAACATCCCGCAGGACACTTCAATGATCAAAAAATGTTTATAATATAACAACAACATACAATACTTCGCATTTATAATATCATAGTTATTTGGTTTGTAACTAGTTGAGCTTGCAATACTGTCAGATGCAAATTATTCCGAATCCGATGTTATTACAAAATTTGTACCATAACTACCTCAATGTTACACATATGTACACAAAAAATATAATATATTTTGTTAAAATATGTTTCCTAATTAAGTTATTTTGTATAACAAGCTTAAAAATAATCTCACTACGACTGAGACTAAATCTTACTGGCTTATATATACAAATTATATTTTTAACTAGCTTATAATTATACATATTTAAATATAAGTACTTTGTCACTGATTATATGTATATTAAGTAGGGTATTATCCAAAAACATATATATATCTCTATATTAGTAGCATATGTTACGTTACTTAAATTTTAATCATAAAGTTTGGAAGGTAATTTTATTCATACTTTTCCATGTAGGTTCTTGAACAAGTTTCCGACATGCACGACTAATCGCCCAGACGATATGTAAGTGCCTGAGATGGCAACAGTTGCTTAAAATGCTTTAGATAAAGCACGTCAATGTCGATAAAGTTTTGGCATTTATTACTGCGAGTTTAAAGTATCGTTATATAATAATATTTATAACATAACTAAAATTCAATTTTAGTTATGTTTCCAAGGCTTCAGTCATGATACTTCAAGGCCGTACTCTGCCGGTGACATCAATTGATATATACGTAATTGGTGCTCTGTTACACAGGAGTAAATGTTCATGATGCATAGATTTAATATAATTAGAACACCAGTGCACAGCTCCTGCTAGATGTCTCCGCCACCTCTCACTCGCTGTTACAGCGATTAGAGGCTACATTGTATTGTGCATGTTAATATTATTTCTGTTCAAGCCTCCGAATTATAATTCAGTTTCTCACGCACCGAACAAAATTTCACATCACGTCCGAATCTATTTAGACAGATACGTTTGGATACAGAACTACATATATATGTATATAGCATTATTCCAGTTGAAGTTTCACGTGTAATTTTGTTCGTTCGTGCAGAAGGGTATATCGATGAGGGGACACTAGTAGTGTCGTTTCGTGTAACACAACCATCCCTTTATAGGCGACCGATCATTGCATCGAGCTCGTCAAGCTCTCACAAGTCCATGCAGGACACTGAGAGACCGGGATCTGACTCTGAGAAACGAGGCCATAAGTGGAGACACATCCAAGCTGTCATGGCTTACTACCAGGCTCTCAGGAAAATAAAGAGGTTGGATGTGACCGACGACGGTAAAGCCTCGCCGCATCGTTGTCTTTTGTATTGTTTGTTATATTTCCAAATAATGCTATTCGTCTGTGTCTAGGTTTCGGGAATGATTCTTTACTTATGGTTATTGTGCTCTTACTGTGACTATTTTGTCTACACTAGTTTTACTGTCATCAAATCCTTTCTGTACTATCTCTTGGGAAGTTCAATATCTATTGGTGTATTATTTTTTGCATCCGGATGGTATGGGTACATGATAGTTTTAAGTCTTAGTGATCCTGTTCTTAGTTTCAGTTTAGATATGTTAGCCTTAGTATACTTTCGCAAAACATAGGAGCTCTCTGTTTCTACAGATAAACATATGCAATAAACGAGACTGACTGTTTTTATTTTAATTGCAATGCCGCATGATAATAATGGTAGAATATATGTTTTTTGCACGTTAACTAACTTCGTATATGTAACAGCAATATGATTCACGCAGACTTACACATACTTGTACACGATAAAAAATGTTAAAAAAACACTCATTAGATGTATGTTCGGAAGAATTTCATTTGTTCCATTTGGTTATTCGATTGCTTGCACATAAAGCTTTGAAACAAAACACTTAAATATAGTGATGAAATGGGGGACAATCGATTGGAGCATGTTTCAGCGCACACATACAATAAGTCCCTCGGGGCTGTGATGGTTACATAGAAAGGTTTTTTAAAAATAGATCCGTCCCATGGGAATGTTGAATTTATTTCGCTTTCCAAGGCATTACCGACAACACTCCCTAAAATAAATTAAATCAAACGAATACAACTCTTGTTTTTTGCTGATCGCTAAATGTCATACATTCTATGTCAATCAGTTGTATGGTGTGCATTGATTATTATGATTATAACAAAGGGCATTCTTTCGTACAATCCACGACACTATTTCCTACTTCACCATTCCTCACTTACAGAGTTAAGATCATCTCATTGTAATTGGAAGCATTTTATATCCTTCATCTTCTTGCATGTCAGAATCGAAAACATTTTTGAAAACATCATTTAATTTGTTCCAAAAAATTGCATCCAATTATAAGAGAAATTAGCTAAAACGATACCTTCATTCTAATTTCTGATGTAACTCAAATCTGGCCACGCATTTCTTTCACTTGTCACTTTATAAAAGTAATTCGGGGCATCTAACCCCTTTTAAACCTTCAGTCACACTACTCGCAGATATTATAGTTCTTATATTTTAATGACGCAGTAATTTCAAACACAGAACTAAATCGAATCAAAGATGGATGAAGTTGAGGACGACGGTCCAACTGAGTTCTGCGATACAAAAGAAGCCGCCACTCAAGAGAGAGGATTCCTTTCTAAAGAGATTTTCGACTCGACAAATACCAGAGACCCAGGAAACCGTGAGATTCCTTATATACATTTGAATAATTAATAAAACACCAACAAAGCCAAGTGTTACAGGAGCTAGTCCTTTTATATATGTACACATTAGAAAATCAATTCTATTAAAAGTAAATAAAGATCACAATAGATTGAAAATCACAAGAAGTTAATTGAGTAAATATAATTACGTTGAAATAAAAATTAATCTGACGCTCAACGAGGCTGTCACCAATTATAAACTTTCAATTTAATTATCATCAAAAATATTTTATAACTATAACTTACTTCTTTGAAATTTGTTATTAGTTTTATCCCTTGTTTTTTGAACTATAAGATACTAAAATTAAAGTGGTAATTAGATTGTATCTTTTTTGAATTTAAACCTTTTCTTAGTACATTTTTTTTTTACGTTTATATCAATAAATTAATGTTTCATTTAGGTTGAAGACACCGGATCGGAAGGTGCGACTGGCGAAAACAGAGTATCTAACAGACAGAGGCGCCGCAAAGTACGTGTGCCTCGCACGGTCGTGAATCCCGATGAAAATTTCTACTTCTACTGGCTCTGGGTTATCACTATCTGTGTCCTTTACAACCTATGGACACTGATAGTACGACAAAGTTTTCCGGAATTACAGGTCAGATAAATCGATATTATTACATTATATTAGAAAATTTTCCATCGTTTGATATTAATTAATAATACGGATTACATATAGGTGTTGTCTCGTAACTATTCTTTCTTTTATGTGAATCAGGGAAAGCTAATACGTATAGAATGCCTTCCCGACAGGCCATTAGCTCCCTCATCATCCCGTTGTAACCTTGCTCACACAATAGATACAGAAAACCTTGATCTCCATTCAACACTATCAATGATATAATTAATTGATACCATCCTCAGTGTTAAAGTACGTAAAACTTTAATCGCGACACACTTTAGTTAATACTAGCCAGGATAATTACTTTTTAGCACATAGCCCTAACATTAGAATTCTCTTTAAGAGGTAATAGAAACGTCTTCCTTAGGAGTAGTAAAATAAATCACTTTGAGTACGTTTTACTTGCGTTGTGAACTCGACAAAGAGTTCTCACAGGCCTGGCTGTAACGGTAAAACAAATGTTGAGAGAAAACGATCTTCCGTGACCTAGACCTTTTAAAATATACGTATGTATGTATGTGTGTAATACTCATGACCTAGTTCCGTCAGCATTGTTCAAGTACTTTATTAATATGTATTTTTGCAACAATGATAAATTACACCAATGACACTGTTTAAAGTATTTGCATTTTAATGATTTGATCAGTCGAACCAACATAGATAGTGATATTAAAACAAAAGTTCTGTAGGTTAAAATACGTAATACATTGATGTAATTTAGGTTAAAAACTATAATGCTAGTTAAAAGTTATAGCTTTGTGACTATCGAATTGAACCATTACTAAATAGCTGCTTAGTCACGAATTTTCAGTGCGTGTTATACGAGTGGTTTCCTTACTTTAATGATAAGCTGTAAACTGTTCGAGTTCTTAAAGAGGTTCTAAATAAAAACTATTTTAACATTCCTTGATTGGCTAACAGAGCGTTTAAACATTTGACGAGCGGTCATTTTGTGACACGCTCGAATGCACAGCGGTGTGGAACCGATACGCCCATAGAAGCCTTGGTAGAAATTACGTACAATGAAATTAAAACTAAAACTAGTTTAATATATAAATCTTTTTTCCAATATATATCATTGTATGTGGAGAGTATAATATATAAAATCACAGGACAATTCACTAACATTTATTTGACAAATAAAACCTGAAAGTTTTCAATCCTTTCGACAGAATAAATTCTCAATGTCATTTTATATAATGTAAGAAAAAATAAGTATTTAATAGTAACTAAGAATAAACCATGTAACTGTTAAGTAATAATTCTCTGTCATGTATTTTTTTCACGAAATAAAAACAAAAGTTTATCAGAGCCTTTGTAAGCTCGCAGCACTCCTCTGCAAGTAATCACACCAATTAACTGACAGAAATCTCTCTCTACGATACAACAGATCCGACGTAAACATACATACAACGATACATACACTTTAATTATTTAATAAAATGAGGACAGTTTAAAACCAGTGCTTAAATAAAATTTGATATTTAAAAGTAGATTTTTGTCATACATTTTTCTAAACTTCGGTGCGTCTATTTAAAAAAAATAGTTCAATATAGACTTTTTTTTCGTGTTAAAAAATTCTTGTTAACGAGTAAACTGAAATTTAATTAGAAGAAATGAGGTTTTAAAACAAACTGGATGAGCAAATTAATCTTATTTTAACCCTTTCTTTTGCTGAAATGAAATTGATACATACGAAAATTATATAGGAATAAAAAATAACTCTAATATAATTTTGCTACTACTATAATTATTAATAGATATTCATATTAATAATGAATGACGAGTTTTTGCAGTAAATTTTATATTTAATATATTGAATTTAAATAAGTAATGATGATTGCCTCGCAGTATACTTAATGAGCGAAAAGACTTTACAATAATGAGGTCCCCGTGGAACGAATAAGCTGACCGTTTCCATTACTGAACATCCCAAGGACTAGTGCTAATCTGATTGCCTTATTAGAATTCGCTTACAAACAACATTACCTCGGGTCATTGAACCCTACTGAATAAACGATACATACACACACACACACACACACACACACACACACACACACACACACACACACACACACAAGCTACACAATAACACAATAATTAATAATCTACTAACAGTATACAATAGCTTAATTCACATCAAAACAAACTTCTGACAGCCTTAACTCTTTATGTTAAAAGTCATAAAATTAATTAATCAAACGAACCAAAGAGGTTACAATGTTAAACCTCTTTGTTAACATTAAAACCGAACCGAACCGAAACGAATTCGGTGCGATCAAATAAGTCGTAGAGTTTATTTGCTACGATAACCGTCGTAGCTTTCGTAGCGGATGAACATAAAATCGTAGAACGGCTACGCAGTTTTATATAATTGAATACGGTGAATTTGAAATGATTTGATTTGAAGTAATGGAATTAAGTTAATTAATATATTAATATATTTACTTACGAATGGGATTTTTACTATCTAGTATACGGGAGTCGTTAAGTAAGTTTTTGTTAAATGATAATTTTCTTCTATTATTATCTAACAAAATAAATTTACGAAAAATTAATCTACCAATAAATTACTTCCAAATTTATGATGACTTTACGACAATTATTAATAGTTATATTAAAAAATACATACGAGGGTCAAACTGAAAGTTCTTAGAACTGGCCACTTATAAACAATATAATAAAAAATAATTCTAAAATTTGAAAATAGAACTCTTTGCTAATATTACTGAGTATATATTTCATGTTTGTCATTTGTTTTACGATTTGGCGGCAAATTGAAAATTGTCTGTGTCACGTCAACATGAATTTAACACGAGAAAATTTTCGTGCAATGATTTGTGATTCGCGCCTTGTGATTTTAATTTATTTCCAAAAATTAAAGAAAAACTTAAAGGAAAGCGGTTTATGAATGCTGAAGAAGCGGTGGCTGCGTATCGCGATGCCATTGAAGAGTCCCCTAAGGACGAGTGGGCAAAGTGCTTTTCCCAGTGGTTCCATCGCATGCAGCGGTGTATTGACGTGAATGGACAATATTTTGAAAAGATATAATAAAACTAATAACTGGCTAATGTCAGTTTTCGATTTTCTAAGAACTTTCAGTTTGACCCTCGTATAGCCCAGTACGTATTAATGCCAGATAATCTTAGTCTTGAGTAGATATAGATAGTCTTAGAGTAGATCTGTGAATTCTCATCTATGTTTAGATTCTCTGCCACTACTTCTGGGTGACCTGCGACGCTCTCGGTGATATAGCCTTCGCTCTGGATCTGGTTGTTCAACTGAGGACAGGATATTTGGAACAAGGACTAATGGTAACTCATATAAAATTTCTTTTATACTTTACTTACCAGTGTATTTGATTATTCGATTTACCTACAAGTTCTTTGTAACCTAAACATAAGACGTTTTCATCTGAGAACCGCCACAAAACACTTTAAAGACTTCAATGTAAAAAAATCATTGCTCGTTAAGTTCTTCTTCTACCTGGCAATTTTACAGCTTTAGCCTGGCTGCCTGCCTGACATCAACACTCTTTTGGGAATTCAGTTACACCATTGCTCGTTAATTTATAAGAATTTAATTCTTGTTTATATCACGTATGATTTTCTTAACTCTTCCAAGCTGTTAATGATATAAAACAATTCAGACAGGCACAAAAAGGTATAAAATATTTTTGGCTAACTTTTTGTACCAATTACCAGTCTGTGAGAATCAAAAGTCTATGATATTTCTGTTCCTTCAGGTTTACGATTCTAAAAAGCTTGCGAAACATTATCTGACGTCACGTTCATTCCTTCTGGACATCGGAGCTCTGACACCCCTGGATCTGATACAACTGAAGATTGGCACCAACCCTATAGTGAGGTTTCCGCGGTTCTTGAAGGTGAGCTCAACACACACACATACATACACACACAAACACTCTCTGTCTCACACACACACACACACACAGACACACACACATACAAACACTCTCTCATTCTCATACACACACAGACACAAAGACTCTCACTCTTACACACACACACACGTACAAGTCATATAATTACGTCCTGTGTTGAAAATGTATATAAACAAAATAAGTTTAAAATATTTTATATATTTGATGAATATAATACTATTCGTGATTCCTAAAATAGTAAAATAAGTGTTGACGGTGATGGAACCGAGAGATCAATAAAATCAACATCTTGAGAAGTGTCAAGGGTCGTTGAGTACAAACTAGAAGGAGATCTACATAACGGTTCAACAGAATACAATAATGATGGTGAAAAATTACTTGTGTTGTAACAAGTGATAAAAATATAAAGAATATTGAATATAATATAGAAATTGTATGAGGAAGCCATAGTTTCACTTACAATAAAACACTTTATATATGAACAGTACGACACAAAATGACATTTTTAAGACATCGAGATAAAAGTCTTAGCAAAAATAGTTTTATTTTAAATATATTCTTTTTTTAAATCAGTTTTAATCATCATATTATATATATGTATAGTATATTATCATAGTGAGTCTAATGCGACGCGTGATATTTAAAGCGTCGTACGTACAGCTTATCATATAATTAGAGCACATCCAAACGCTAGGTGTACCGAGCGGTAAGCTGTTACTACATGGTGGAGTCACGAACGGTCTATCCAAACTTCTGGCGAGTCATTAACTTAATCCACATACTACTCATACTGGCGCATTGGTTCGGATGCTTCTACTTCTTGCTCTCTGAGGCTGAAGGCTTCCAAGTAAGTAAAATACTTATAACTTAAACATAGCCTTAACATAGGAATGATTTTAATAAAGACATTTTAACCAAAATGTCTACCATCGCACCTTTGGCATGCCCCCTACATACATGTTGCAAATGACCAACCTTTTTAATAAAATATAAATTTCGAGTAATTATTTAGTAATGCCAAATGTTTAAGGCCTTCTAGTTTTCATTTAAATTGTTAAGATACTAATTTAAATAAAACTGAATGAACAAAAGTTTCATCTTATGTCTTGCAGCACTGTTCCCTTTTCGTAATGTGATCTGTGTTAATCTATAACTTTGCAATTTGTTTCTGCAACATATTTTAGTTTAATAATATATTTGATTATTATTCAGCATTACTCAATATTAATTTGGTATCATCTCGAACATTAAAATGAAAGATGACGTTTAAATCTTATCAATTTTATAATAACCACAAAACGTTTTAAGTGCTGGAGACGATAATTTTAACTTTACCTTTAAAATAATTAAAGTAGAGATAAAACTAATAACAATAAGGTTTCTAAACAATTGTTAAATCATGTACGAACTAGCATACATGTATATACTTGAAATAAATTGTCACTACTTATTATTTTTATGATTGAAATCATTTTTAATGTATGAATTTTTTTTAATACCCATTTACATACTGTTATATTATATAACAATACACTTTTTTTCCTGTGGCAACACTTACTAAATGTCATAACAAACTGAATAAAGTAAAATTATTTTATATTTTAAATTAATTGTAATTAGTTCTGATCTTACATTCTTATTGATGTATTAATCAGTTATATATAAAATATAACAATAAAGTGAGTGTCGTGCGTTTAAGTGCATATTGTTTCTTTTGTATTGTGTTCGTCAGCTGACATTACGCAGGTAACGAACTCAATTTTGAAAAGTTTTCTTGTTCGACTTCTTATTATCCCTTTAACTCACTTCAAAAACCTTTTTTAACATTATTACATTCTAAATATTATTAACTGTTTGATCACACTGCTTACTTTTATATTATTTGTTCATAGAACTTCTTGTTTTAATCAAATATGATGACTCGTAGTATCAAGGCACGTCAGGGATGATAACGAATAAGACTTCTTGCAAATTCTTAATAGAAACAATAATCTAAAAACTGAGCTTTCTCAGTTACATTTGAAATACTTAGATATGGGAGAACAAAGAAATAATCCGCAACAAATAGTCAATGGGTTTGATAATTGCAGAGATGAGTATGAGCAAGCCCTCATGCTCGCCAATGAGTTAAAAATTAAATTACATAAGGTTCAACTATATATTTCTGAATTGGAAAATAATAGTTTCAACCTAAAGGTCTTTCAAACCCAATGTCTATTTGATGAACTGGTGGAAAATGCGGCCTCTATAGTGTCCCCAATCACCAATACCAATGACATCACAACAATTGACTTGACTGATGATGACTCGGGCTCTTCCAGTCTAGTATTAGGTAAAAATAAATTAAAGAAATATGTTAAAATTAATAAATATATTAAGGAAACTGAAAAATTAATAAAATCAAGAAATTATGGCTTAAATTATGAAAAAATGTATAAAGAAAGAAACACACTCAGACTAAAAATTATTATTGAACATTCTAAGAATGTTAAAGTAATGAGACAAGGTTTTGAGGCTGACATGAGTGCTCTTCAGGCTGAGATAATATATTTATATAACTATTTAGATATAATGTTAAAAATATATGAAATGTCTCAAAAAGAAATATCTAGTCATATTGCTGCCATGAACAATCTACTAGACTTGAGTAAATACAATTCCGAGTGCATTGACTCTCTTATAAAAAACTATACTTGTGATTGTCAGGGCCATTCAGTGTCAGGGGATGGTTGGGGGCTGCTCAATGATGTAGTGTCCTTGTCTCAGTCAACAGCTCATAACACACCATACCCAACATAACACATCATGTTCCCACCAAAAAATGTACTAAAATCTATTGTGATGAATTGGGAAGAAACTTGGGTGTTTTGCTCAATGACAGGTGTAAGGGACAATCAGTATCAAATTATTGTATGCCGTGTGCAAATTATTCTTTATAATGAACAGTATTTAAAATAGTACTCATTGTCCCAATACTACACTAATTATATTAGTTGGGAGAAGGGGAAATGTGAACAAAAAAAATCTTGAAAATTATTATTCTCAATTATCAAATTTAAATGTGGATAGAATATTAATGTTCACATTTCCTTATATTAAAGATGTGCCACAGGAAAATTCTATTAGATTTAAATTAAATAATATGTTACATATCATGAAAAATACTTATTATGTAACAAAAAATTATATATATGTAATTAAATAAAACTAATTGACATTAATAACATAATTAAAAATAATTCTTGTTTATTGACATGTGATAGGTGTCACCTATCTAATTTTTATAAGAGACAGATAGCTAGTTTGCTATCATATTTTATTTTTAAAAATCAACCAAAGGTTTGGTTGACCAGACAACTGCTTCTATTGAGCAGTATAATAATAATTTATATATTTTGGAACATGTTCCAAGTAATTTAAATTAAGTTCTAATACAATAGAGGTAGTCTCTGGCAATGATAATAATTCTAACTATAATTATGAAAAAATAATTACTATAGAATCCAATAAAAATAATAAGAAAGTAAATAAAAAAATTGTAAATCTGGTGCACCAAAATATTCAAGGAATGTTAGGGAAAGACTTAGAAATTGAAATATTTTTGGCCTGTAATGGCATTGATATTTTGTGTTTAACTGAACATTGGCTTCTAAATTACCAGGCTATATTTAACTTTAGTGGGCACCAGATAAAGTTCAGTAGAAATAAAGCTATATGTGGTGGCTCTTTAATACTCCTGTGTAAAAATATAAAATTTAAAGAACATAAAGATATTGTGAGTCTTTCTATTGAGCAAACTTTAGAAATGGCCTGTGCAGAGCTTGAGTGTGTCATTGTTGTATGCATATACAGGCCCCCTAGTGGATTATATGAATTGTTGGAAAATATATTGGACAATGTTGAGATTTAAATATAAATTTATTGCATAATTCAACCATAAGTATTAGATTCAGATCTTTGTTAAGTTCATATAATCATGGTAAATCTGTTCTTAGAACCAACTAGAATAACAGATTCCACAGCAACTTGCATTGATAACATATTTGCTACCTGTATTCCACAAAACAAAATTATTATTAATAACCTAAGTTCAGATCATTGTGGGCAACAAGGCTTATTTAATTTTCATGTTAAAAAAATAAGTACTTCTGAAAAGATAATGTTTGTCCCTTTGACCGCAAGTCGTGTTGAGAAGTTTAGAAGTAATATAATGGCTAATCTCCCTCACATATATTTTAGTGATAATCCCTATGTATTATTTAACAATCTATTTAAATTAATTAGAAACAGTTTTAAATCTATATTCACTTCTAAAACAGTCAATACAAACAACTTTTTAAAATTCAGTGATTGGGTGACTATTGGAATTCATAAAAGTAGGCAATGAATGTATGAGCTTTACAATGAATGAATGAAATGATGTGATTGCACCTTTTCTTCTTGTAATATTTAATAGTTGTGTCCAACGTGGTATATTTCCTGACCCGATGAAACATAGTAAAGTTATTCCAATATTTATTAATCTGGTAGTTCTTCAGACCCCAATAACTATAGGCCAATTTCAATTCTACCTACCCTGAGCGAAATATTTGAGAAAATAATTCTAAATCAATTATTAGAACATTTTAACAAACATAATCTGCTTCATAGTAAACAATTTGGATTCACGAGGGGTCGCTCGACAACAGACGCTGGTATCGAGCTTATTAAGAATATCTATGATGCTTGGGAGGAGTCACGGGATGCCTTAGGGGTTTTCTGTGACTTATCCAAAGCCTTTGATTGTGTTCAACATGAGACTCTGGTCAGGAAACTATATCCTTCCTTAATACTTTTTTTAAAGTATCAAGCGTTCCTTAATACTTTTAAAAAAGTATTAACGCTTGTGTGCAAAAGGTTACTATACAATTAATGAGTTTATGATCGATAGCACACCTTGGGAATGAAACGATCGCCTCCTGGCTATTTCATCTCATATTAAATTGTTTATATAATATATGATACAAATATATATTTAAAAAAAAAAACCCGCTGAGTTTCTTTCGCCGGTTCTTCTCAGGTCAGGGTATTTTTTCCGAACCGGTGGTAGTGTCTCAAGTGACCATCAATTAGAAAGTGTAATGCTTCTATACTGAATAAAATTATTTGAGTTTGAGTCAATGTTTGTATGTTAAAATATATAAACATATTTTATTTTGTAGGGTGACTGGGCTTACCCACATCGACCTGGCGACTACGCGACTCTCACAAGAAAATATCTTGGCTCATTATATTGGTCGACACTAACTCTTACAACCATCGGAGATTTACCGACACCGGAGACAAACGCTGAGTAAGTAAACTATTAGTGTATAAGTAAAAATTAATACGAACAAAAACAAGTCTTACTACCAGTGTATTTCGTTTCACTACAAACGTAGCGTACGTAGTGATTAATTCATTACACCTATGTTATAGTCCGTTAGACTTAAGCTGAGTTTTGTTTTTGTGTGAGTGAAAGTAAAAGTAGTGTTAGACAAAAAACGTTTAGAATTAAATTTTAAATAAATACATAACATAAGTGCTATAACATAAGCAAAACATGTAAAAGTCCACATGGAAATATTATGAATTATGTGGGAAAAAAAATTATTGATTAATATGAATTTTGATTAAATTATACAAATTCTTATTCACTTGACATTGCGTTTTCAACATTTAATTTTGCTACCAGTACAAAAGGTGAAGTGAGGAAGGTGCGGGGCGGAGTTAAAACAGAATAAACCGGTTCAAAACTAGAAAAGAACGTGGCATTCAAATAATTGACACCACACCTACACTATCCGTGTACACTCACACAAATGCAAAGCTCAGCTTAAATCAAACGCACTATACGTGTGTCTGTAACGAAAACTTGTTGTAAGATTACTTATAAAATATAAATTCGAGTCTAATATTGACATTTAGTATATTCCAATACATTAAAATGTTACAAGGATTATGTTACCCTTGTTAGGTAAACGTTAAAAATGTACACAAGCAATCCCCTCTTAGGGTAATCGATTTGATGTTTCCGAGTTCAGAAACAAAATGACGGAATCAGATTAAAATTTGTTAGAACATCATAATCCTGTTTGATGATATTAAGTAAATGTAACCCTTTAAGCTTTTAAATATTAATTAAGATATAAATAGTTTGTTTTTATTGAAATAACGATAATTGGAAACAGCATGTTATACAATGTGTGTGAAAAAATTTTAGAAACTACTATACTTTCAAAAGGATATCGTAGTATTAACTGAATGAAATGGGTGTATTAGTAATATGAAAAAAAATTACAGAGCACATATTAAAATAGAAAACATACTTAATGATAAAAATACTACTAAATTTTGATATTTTCTTGGTGTATCATTTATTATTAAGATTTTCTCCAACATAAGCTTATATCTTTACCAATGCTACTAACAGTAATATGTTGTTAGCCCGCAAGGAGGTCCCAAATTTTTGCCGCGACGTGGCCTGAAGTCTAGACTACTACAATTCAAATCCAATCGGGGGTACGTTATACAGCGATTGGTCAGATCATTTTGATGAAAATCATTTATATTTTATCTTCTTTTACATGCCCTGGTCCCACTGTATATGTTGTCAAGCACAATATGTTCTATTAAGCCGTCACACCAACAGTCACCTTTTTACTTATGCCATTCATCCATCTTTTCTTAAGTCTTCCTCAACCCTCATATGTCTCCACATTCTTCTTGTATAATATGCCCATACCACGCTAATCCATTACTTATGAATTTAAATCGTATATTTTTTTTACATAATTTAACGAAAATCATTATTAATTTTTTAATATTACAAAAATGGTCATTTACCATACTATAGTTGGATATGAAGATAAGCTATTTGATTTATGTTGTATCGTCGAGTTTTGTTCACTAATCAGACTATTTGTTATTGATGCCAAACGAAAGCACAAAAAATATATTATTATATGAAATACTAGCTGACCGAGCAAACGTTGTTTTGCCAATAAAAATTGGGGTTGATGATAAAAAACTAAAAATTTTGGGTTGATGTATTTTTTAATGTCCCATTATAAAAAATAAAAAGAATAGATTTCGTCTCAAAATAAAAAAAAATTTAGGATGAACAACCCTTATCATTAAGTGGTAAGAAAAATTGATAGTCGCCGATTCTCAGACCTACTGAATACGCATATAAAATTTGGTAAAAATCAGTGAAATCGTTTCGGAGGAGTACGGTAACTAACATTATATATTAGATACTAAATAAAATAATTCCAAATGAACATACAAGGAATGTAATATAAGGATTAATACATTTTATGGTCGAGTCATTTCATAATTAAAGTTAATTTAAATTCGATACATGGCATCGTAAGTGCTTTGTCGTTTGGAACTAATTCAATCATCTCCGCTCCACCTTTTATATTATTACTAAGGATATCACATAACATGGTTTCAGTAACACGTGAGCATCACCAGACTTGTATACAAGCTTGTATTCTATGTCTCTTGAATACTTTGATATTATAACTCATGTTTTTCAATAGTTTCGTATTACAAAGTATATTATGTGTTTTCTTTTGTTCGTCTGTGGATTATAGAAATACAATAACTTCTTACAACTTGTAATAAAACATTAAAATATAAGGTATACAAAGAGTAGATTATCCTTACAATGTCATAACATTTATTCCTCCAAAAAATTGCTAACAGTCAAATTAATAAAAACATTGCTAGTTAGTTATTCAATGACTGGGTATAATAAAGATTACTAAGTATTTTTTTGAAACATGTACGGTTTTTGCCAGATAATATATTAAGAAAGTACTGTCAGGAATAGCTGAAACAAACAGATTATTAATGATAATATAATATACATATACGAAGAAAAATTCTTTGACGCGATCTGGACTAATAGCTACAAGCACTTGAATGTCTAGTCCCAGTTACTATTCCAATGAAAGTATCCTACTAAAGGGAATAGATAGTTTTAATAATGTTCAACATTCAGCAACTCTTAAATTAAATCGTAAAAATCTTTGCAGACTTTCAAATCAAATCAAATTAAAAACCACAAACACATCAATATTACACGTCTATTTTCGGTCTAATATTCCCAGACCTTGAGAATGTCCAAGCTTCTGTCGCTGATTTATACGAGGGACGCGAACTCATAAAATATCTGAAAATGACATAAGAAGTCCACTTCTACTTTATGGCGATATAAACTTAATAATGATTAGCTTTTCGGTTTTTGTGCGAGTGTAAAGATAAACAAAAAAATATTATAAATTAAAAAATATTTCATTTAAATGAAACGAATATTTTTAGGATATACTACGTGAGTTATTTTCGTAAAACACTACGTTCTGTCTGAATGACAGACGTTCACATCTCGTCTGCCCGTGATCCCGGTTGCTGAAAAGTAACCGAAACGTCGGAAATATGTAATTTTTTACAGAAATAAACTGCGTTGTATATCGGAAAAATATTACTTTCATTTAAATAAACACTCGAAAAAGTCAAGATCTCAAAATATTACAGTTTATGCAGTTCAGTGAGGTTCGATAACAATAGGTTTTGTATAAGGTTCTGTCAGTATCGTCTGAGATATTGCAAAATCGAAAGCTCGGGTAAGGAGCTATTGAATTTTATATAAAACAATACTGTCGAAGCAACCTCAATGTCACTTACCTTATTAAGCTAGAATAAGTCTGGATATTCCTCTCTATATAAAATATTACGCTGACAGTGCCTGTCAAAATAATATATTGCAGGCATAAAGCTGCACTCTAAATTGAGTATTACAGAACTATACTTTTCACTTTTTATATGACTATATATAAATCTGGTCATCGATTTAATGTTACTACTTATGGGATCGTATTTCTTTATTTTTATTACGTTTTAAAAAATCTTAAAAACAAACCGCATTCCCTTGATAGCTATAAACACGTGAAGCTATTGAACGAGCTCTCATTCGGTTCCAATCGTAAGTTTTCTGAATAATAGAACAATCACATGTATTGATTCATAATATTTTAAGAATCACTCTAACAACGGCGTAAAAATAGTTCTAAAACACATTTTTGTAAGCATATAGTCAACATAATGTATCATTATTTGTAAATAAGTTATATTGAACACAAATCAAATGACATTCTCTACAAATAAGATAATTTTACTTATATTTGTATGGCGAATGCTGTTGAAGCTAGGACATACATATTGTCCGTATCCAGATGTAATAAATCTTATTTTTACATCAAAAAATACTTAAATGACATATTTTTTAAGCACACATACTAAGAGCTATAAGGTATAACTATTTTTATGACGCTTACTTTATGGTCTTCAAAACCAACATCATACAGTCACAAAGATAACATGAAGATTTTATTATAATATATTATTTTTTTATTTAAAATTTCTTTTGTATTATACTACACAACAGTAGATTTTTCAAACATTTAAATCTATGTAATATTGTTTAACCTATGTCATTTTGTGCGTTAAAATATTTTCATTCAAATTTATTTTCTATTAATTGGCTCTTTTTGTTTTCAAAAATACTGTAAGTCGATTTATTATAGAACTATCTTGAAGTTATCATACGTATTATTTGAAATTCTAAATCTATATGTATGAATAAAACTCATTTATTCAATTAAACTGTTAAACTCTAATGATACAATAACTATTATAATATAATGGAATAGAAACTACATATTTATAAAAGTGTTGACATTTAACCAACCTTAGCCAAATGATTCACCTGAACTGAAATGATTACCATTTTTCTTTTACTTAGCAACATCTCTTAATAGCTCATATAATATATCATTATTATATATTTAGATTAAGCATTGCGACTGTATTAAATAATATTTATATACAATTTGTGTATATATTTTTATAGCAAACAATTCTAACTCAAATATCTGAATACACAACATAATATATGAACAGTTTAACGAATCCTCTATATATTTCCTCCTTGTTTTTATTTCCATTAACCCAATCAGTGAATAGCGGAGCGAAGGGCAAACCTCGTTTACGAGATATTCGACATACAACGCTTTAGGGTCCAATGAAAAACTCAATTTCGTAACACTTAAAATATTCATCACGACGAAACATCATGTACATATATAATATGTAATATATATATATATAGAAAACCTTAATTATCCGACATGATCTGACCAATCGTTGATCGTTCATATAAACCGTGTTTGTTTTTAAAGCGACTATCAAAATGACTGCATCCTACAACATTAATTATATTACTACAGTGCTCATGTTGTTAAAATTTCATTAAGAGGTAAGTTTTATTTTAAGATCACTCATTGAGTTTGTGCACTTTAAAAGAATATCAAAGTCACTCTCCTAATTTCTCGATTTTAATAATTCATTATGAGATCGAATTTTCAACACAAGCATTGTTAATGAGCTATTGTTTTTGATAATGGAAACAGCCATTTTGATATCAATGGCGGCGAAAATTTGGAGGCTGTTCGCTTGACAGCGACGAACTTCGGCTAACAGTAGACGTGAAAATTATTATTAAAACACGACATTAATTGTTGTTTATGTTTGTATATATATATATATCTGTCATGAACCGATACAGCGGGTTATTATTGAAAGTTTTCGAACAGCCTTCACTGGATCGCCCTTTTTATACGTCGCTTGTATTAGCTCCACATTGATTTGTATTGCAACTGTTCGAAAACTTTGCACATTGATATATACATATGTATGTATACATATATATATATATATTTGGCTTTTGTATGTGTATAAATGTATAGTTCTTTGGCATCACGGATCAGTCAGTTTGTTAAATATTGCATAGATTTAATACAAAAAAACTTGTTAAATTGCTTGCATTTAATGGTGTTTATATTCTTTATTGCCAAACTGACTGATTTGAATGTTGGAGTTTCATTTGAATGTAACCTGTACGTGCATCATTTAAATGTCCGTTCCCAGGTATGTGTTTACAATCGTGAGCTACCTGATCGGTGTATTCATCTTCGCTACAATTGTTGGACAAGTTGGCAATGTCATTACGAACAGGAACGCCAATCGGCTTGAATTCGAACGACTACTAGATGGCGCTAAAACTTACATGAGACACCACAAGGTAACGTACTGATTACATTATCACTATTATTATATAGATTTCTGTATGAAAAACCCCAAATTTTTTTGGACACAGCTAATTAAAGCTTCTCCAGTCACTGAAGTAGAAGTGAAGTTTTAAAAAAAAAAGGATTCATTAAAAAACACAAAGCCTCCGCGTTAACTTCAAGAAAACTTCAAAATAAACGCTTTCAACCACCACGTGCACTTCAACCTAAAAGCTGTTTTACTTGACCTGGTTTACAAACTATTAGTGCCTTTAATACCATCTTAATATATCTGAATTTCACGTGGCTTCATAAAAACTGATGTCGAAATATTATACAGAAAAGAAAGTCGTGTTGGTTATAAATAACTCAAGAACGGCTGTAAGGATTTGGCTGGCAATAGGATACTTTTCATTTCGTTCGACCAAAAAAATATTGCTAATAAAATCTAAAATCAGTTAATTTACTGCCTCTAAATCAAAACAGTTCGCCTGATCAGCTGTACATTTCTAATTATGAAACCAACACGAACGAAGTCGCGGACAAAATCTAGTATTATATAAAAAAAACGAAAAGTTAACATTGACACTCAGAATACGAAATGCCAAAGACAACAGTGGCTCAGAAATTCAAAGCATTGATATTCCACTGACAGATTCGTTTGAATAAAATGTTATATTTGTAAAAAATAAAGTAACCTGATTAATGTTATAATATAAAGAAAATAAAATTCATTATATTTTTATCATCTCATGTTTCTATTTCAAACTGTCACATGCTAGCTAACAATATATTAGCCTTACAATTATTTTAATATGTATTTTTATATCAGTTTGTAATTAATTAAAACAATTGGACATAGTCATTGTGAGGTATAGCATTCTGGCTAGACCAATAAAGATGTAACTATCGTTTGTAAAGGTCCCTGGTGGTATGAAGCGACGAGTTCTTCGCTGGTACGACTATTCCTGGTCACGAGGAAGGATACAAGGAGGTGGTGACATCAATACCGCTTTGGGACTTTTACCTGACAAACTGAAAACTGAACTAGCCTTGCATGTCAATCTCAGTGTACTCAAAAAGGTAAAGATACGAACCAAAGAAATCCAGTAGATTATTATACTGTTTCCTACTGAAATTTATTATATTTCCACCTTATTATTATTTTATATTCGGTTATTTTTCCTTATAAAACATTTTAAATAGGTCAAGACAGGTAGACGTTAGCGAGTCTGAGGAAAGGTGATCGATTTTTTTATATTTATAGATACATTAAACATACGTCAAGCAACACTTCTATATATTGTCTGAATTAAGTGTTAATGAAACATATGACTAAATAACATGAATTCAAAGAAGAAAAATACAATTTTCAAACAAACCCGCATATCAGTAGAATTGTTTACAAGTTATATAGGTTTCAGCAAACGAAGGTATGCTTACTCCAAGTTTAGATGGTCAGACTACAAACAGAAAGTTAGGAGTTTCTCAATAAATAGTATTTAAACGTATGAGGAATCAAGCCTTGGTAATACTGTATAAAGGCAGTGCGTTAATAGTTATCACCTATTCCAGGTAACGATATTCCAGGAATGCCAGCCCGAGTTCTTGCATGACTTGGTGTTGAAGATGAAGGCATATATTTTTACACCAGGAGACTCCATATGTCGTAAAGGTAACGTATGATTGATGACACCCAAAAGTTATACATACATTATATGTTCAAAAACATAATCGACACGTTTCTCATACAACAAACGTCTCTCGAAGTTAGTAACATATTCCTCAGTTCACATTTCTGAAAAATTCGTCGACAAGTTAAGTGAACTCTTTATTTATTTACTTCCTACTTTTGTACGAAAAAACATTCCTACGATCCTCTGAAGGACGGACAAAAATGTATTAAATAGTACAAAAAACAGTTCAGTGGAATACTTTGTCACTGAAACTTCTATTCGTCAATTCGTATATTTATATTAGTATTAAATTAACATTAGAATCATTCATAATAATTCAGACAATTGAAAACTGGACACAATATGAAAAGTTATGAAGTATGATCATTCATTCGTTCTTTGAATGAATGAACAACTGTACAGTTGAATGAATGTAAAATAAACAGCGATGATTCGATATTGTTTCAGGGGAAGTAGCCAGGGAGATGTTTATAATAGCGGATGGCATATTGGAGGTAATATCTGAGACCGGGCGTGTATTAACTACTATGAAAGCTGGGGATTTCTTCGGGGAAATCGGAATCTTGAACCTCGATGGATTAAATAAGTAAGCAATTATAATATATTATTAGACGTGGTTTATATAGTTTATATATATAGTTGAAGCTTTGCGTTGAACTACGAGTGGTTGAAGCATTATTGCATTGTTTCGTTACCCACTGTTTGTGTGTGTGTGTGTGTGTGTGTGTAACCCACGTTAACATTGCGATGTCTAATATGTGCTGCTGCGATGTCTTAGAACCGTTTGTTCTATACTGTGTACAGTCTAGTCTAGTATGTGTACGATGCGATGTTTAAGCTGGCGATACTTGTACAATGTTGCAAGCAAATGTATTATTTGTTGAGCAAAGCAAAGTGTATAGTAAATTAATTTAATACTCTTTATTTACATGGTATCAAATTTCAATTATTATTATACATTTCTCACAGTTGAGATAACTTTTAAAGGATAACTATTGAAATATATAACTCAACAAAAAAAATCATAATGTAAAGACATTTTATATATATTATAAAATAAGAATATAAACACAAATATATATTGAATATCCTTACAATATACATATAATATATTCCCAACATTATTCATAAACATCTAAATTATAATATTAATTCTTCCGACCGTGAACAGAATTAACGAATCTCGCTCTCAATTTTCCGGTTTCAGAAACATCCAACGATTTATTTCTCTATCATGTAAAATTGAAACTGAAAAAACTTACAAGGCTCTTGTTCGTAATTTTATAACTTATTATTAAAATTACTTTATTTTGCTAAATATTTTATATAGACTTGATAATTTTCATTATTTTTCAACTTTAATCTTTAGTTCAAAGCACGTTTAACTTAAACCATATTTACAACAGTAATATAATTCGTCGTTTTGTTATAATCGTGTTATACGATGTCATTCAGAACAGAAGCTGACTTTCTAAGGATATTTATAGCTTGAATATGACATTTCAGATTCTCATAAAATATTTATTGGCCTTCGATACAATGTTATTTTATGTTCATACGAGATTATTCGCTGTAAAATATACTATTAAATATAAAATATGTTCTAACTGAGAGAGGCTTAGTCGTTTTCCCCAACCATTCTTTATGATTTCAATAAAAAAATGTATATAATTCATTTTTAGACAATTTTTTTTACTATTATTGATACAGAGAAATAAAAATAATTTCTATGTAATATACTAAATTATACATTTTGTTCGAACGGTCTTAATAAGGAAGATCTCTCCAATAATACCTGAGAATCCAACTCAAACATAAAAGCTGACCACACACGTACCCATTGCTTCACTAATGAAGACAACTTGCCTTTCCAAGCACTTTTACGAGCACAATTTCGTCGTGAGACCTAATTACTTTTTACTTTTAAAATGAAACCATTGTTGATCATTAAATATATTCGACTTATTATTAACAATTCTTGTATTTAAAAAAATCATTTTTATTTCAATATTTGTAATAAATCTAATTAATTAATCTCTGTAATTTTTTTCACGAAAAGTTTTCTCCAACAAGTCTTCATTATAAATTATTCATAATATTACTATTTAAATGGCATCTTAAAGACATATACTCTCTAAAATATTTAATACAAAGAACCACTAAATGTCCGATAATGAAAGATTTCGTATAACCAAGGGACAATATAAAAAATTAATAACAAAAATCACGACTACACAATACAATATTTCTATGTCACTAAAACCCAATCGTATTTCAATATCGATCAGGAATACAACGTGATGGTCCATAAATATTACATGTACAAATATTACAATATGTTATATAATATTAAAAATGTTCTCTAATAATTCCCAGGCGCACAGCAGATGTTAGGTCTGTGGGATATTCTGAATTATTTTCGTTGTCGCGTGAAGACGTATTGGCGGCTATGAAAGATTATCCCGAAGCACAAGAAATATTGCAGACGCTGGGACGAAAAAGATTACAAGAAGCGAGGAATATGTCCAGAAAGGTCAAAGGTGGGTTCGATAGTGTCCACTTGATTTATTACTGCTATTTAAAGTGTCCCTATGATATATTCCCATGACATATGTCCTTTTTTCATACTGCCCGTCCCGAGAAATATAACAATCAAGTGACAAAGGATATTTTTTAATAATATTCGATTATTTCTTATCGTTTTAGCCGAGGGCAGTCCGGATAAGGCTGGTGGAGATGATAGCGCTCCGAAGAGAATTGTACACAAGCTACGTACCGACGTTAAAGTGAGTTTAATATTGAAATGTAATTTGAAAACTAAAACTCTGCCTTACATATACAACAATAAGTAACATATAACACAAATTTCGAAATAAAAGTTATTTGTAAATAAATAATTTTGATATTAATAATAATCTCTCTACAAACAATCATTCACAATGATGATGATGGTGAGCACAGTACTTAAAGTCACTTATCAAAACACTAATATCGAATATGACTGAATGTGGATAATACAAATATTATACACACCCTTAGGTTCTCTAGCCCTCCCTTGAGTCACTCTGAAATCGTATCATATACATTTAATCCAACTATAATAGAAAAATGAATTAAACTATTTTAAAAAATTCATGTTAGGGTTGGTGACTTTACATACCTATAATACTGCCAGGTTATGTAATAAACAGCTAATTTTCTTTGATGTACTTATAAGACATACTAAATAAACCCCATTGTCCCAGGGCATCCGTAACGCTATTCGCAGTCGTTCCCGAGTGGGTCGACGATCAGGCGAGTCACTGGAATTGAGAGCCCTTGAACCACGACTTAGACGAATGACGCGAGTCCACAGTGATGATTCGCAACAACAAGAGCAAGGATCACATGTCAGTACTGCTATTACTTAGTCAGAAATATCGATACATTAGTCTTGTTGATGCGAAGACATTTAATTCGTCAGAAAATACGTTTTTTTAACATGTCGTATATTTTCAGGAGAACGGTGAAACCACATCTGAAAGCAAAGATGGGGAAAAGGCTATATCTCCGATCGGAGCTGGGCTACCGCTACTATCTCGACTCAAGCTTCTAAAAGAAAAACAGGTACGTATTGTAACCACGATCTGTATAATAGCTTATGTGAACACGTAAATATTTACTATATATTTCCTAAGGATCGTGAAGAGAAAGTGGCAAATCAAAGGCTCTCCACGTCATCAGTAATATCACCTCCGCCGACGCAGCCGATGCCATCAACGAGTTCTGCTCCAGACGAACCTGAAGTTATCGGAGCTGGTCTGCCTCTGATACAAAGACTTTTACTGCTGAAAGCTAAAGAGGACAGAGAAAAGAATCTATTAACAACACTCAGCAATCAGCCTTCTAGCTCAGAGACGATAAGTCCGTGTTCACTTAAAAGTCCTCTGAGCCCAACCGTCAAAAATATAAGCCCGATCAGAAAAGGATCCGATTCCAACTCTCCTGGAAAATTACACAGCCCTACTTCGAAGACTTCCAGGAAAAATTCGTCAGGATCCAGTGATGGAACTTCGAAACCTAAGGTCAGTTTTAAAGACAGAATATTGCACGTACAAGGTCATGTACCGTCAGTTTCTCAACCCCCTAATAAAGTCGCTTTAGAAAGCACGACCATTGTTGTCGAAGCGACCCAGAAATCTGACAGTAATTTAATATCCATACCTCAATCGGTTGTGAGCAAAATAAAATCACCAGCCAAATCTGTTGGATCTAGCTTCCGTGATAAATTTAAATTATTACAAGGCGGTGGATCCGACAAAGAATCTGACAGCTCTTCGAACGAAAAAATTAAACTTCAAAATATAACACCTGAAGCTTCACAATCAAAAGAGAGTCAGGAAGATTCGAAAAATAAAAAACCTTGGAACAAACTGAAAAGAGCTGCAATCTCAAGTGAAACTAAAAGCAAATCTGTATTAGATGACAAAACTGAAAGTGAAACTGAAATAATTGAATCAGCTGCGGGAAATCTGGCAGAAGGGAGTGTCAACGTTTGTATTCCTATTATAAATACAACTGAGCTCGTGAGCGTCGATAAAGCTAATGCTGAAAGTAGCTTCGATGGTGCAGCAATTGATAAGGCTATAGCCGTACCAGAAACTTCGAAAGGCGTACTAGGGAAGCCTGTGGATCTACTAACATTGTCTCCTAAGAGCCTTAGCAAAACCACGGATTCAATAACCAGCTCTGAGTGCTCACAACTAACTAAAGATAAAAGATACAGATCAATAGATGATTTATCACCGGAATACGGAGGACTACCTTTCGTTAAAAAGCTGAAAATTTTAAACGAGAGGCAAAAGTTGGTAGAATTGGAGAATGTCATCAAGTTCAGGAGCTCAAGCTTAGACAACACGAGTTCCTCAGAAGATTTACTCGGTGACACCCTGACGAGAAGTCACTCTGAAAGCAGCACTATGGATAAACGTAAATATAAAAGGAAATCTCTCGACTCAGTCGGGAGCCATGAATCCAATGAAACTCTGGAGAGACGAACACTTAAATCGATACTAAAAAAACTATCAGAAGACGTCACGCCAGCTGAGAGTCCCGAAAGGAATAACGAACTTAAAAGATTGATAAGAGCTCCCACGATAGAAGGTTACGCTGCCAGACACTCCAAATTCGCTAAGAGTGTCACCTTCAACAGACACACATTACCATCCCCGCCTTCTAGTGCTTCAGAGATGCCCGATGATGTTTTCGAATTACCAACACCCATCGAAACTGCGCCATTACAAGAACAAGTAACCCCGGCAGCTGAACAGACATTTACGGAAACAGATATAGAACCAGAAGTGAGGAATGATTACGGTTTACAACAAAACATCGATACAACATATGATTATAAATCACTTCGACCTGGAGACATAAGAGTACCGGCGCCGAAGAAAAAACTAACGATAATATCAGCGGTGGCCAACCAAAGGAGTCTATGGAAAGGTAAAGGATTTATACATATCAATAAAATATACATATATTACAATTGCGATTAACCAAATTTTTATTCTCAGGTTCTTTAGAAGAACAGGAATATTACGGAGAACTTCTGCTGGGAATAAAACAAGTCATGCAGAGTCACTTGCAAGAAATCCAAGGAAAATTTCGTGAAAGGTATTAAGCATACAGAATATTTTGACTTAATTGTATATGACCTTGTCTACAATATCTAAAATTATGTTACAGCTTCTGTAGCCTCGAAAACGAAGTGAGGAAGCGAGATGAAATCATAAGTCAACTTCAGAAACGCATACAGGAATTAGAAAAACACGGCTTGTCAGGGAAATTGGCGAGTTCTGAAATAGATATTGAAGAAGACTTACAAATGATGACCCAGTCGAAGGATCCTAGCTCTGAAAGTGATGATGGTATAGACGAAGGATTTATGGTGAGTATTGAGCGAAACATTATATAACATGTTTTATTGCACTCGTACATATATTAAATTATCGTGTATAGCAATCTACTTAACAGCTCCTGCGAATATTATCTTTGAAATATATACTATATCTTACAAGTATATTAGTATTGTATAGAGAATTTAAAGTTCAATCTAAAACTTCTTTAAGCGTAATTCAACTTTTACATTCAGATAACTTATGTATGAATAATATATGAACATTTCGATAGTGTCTTTTTGAAGAAACAAATATTTTTATTATAACACATTTATTTCAGTTATAAATCAGCGCATTGTTTAGATTAAAAAATAAATTTTAAGTGAAGAATCAATACAACTTTTTGAAATAATATAATAATAATACTGACAGAGTGTCTCTCAAATACATATTAATCTTTTCTCAAATCTGTCTGAAGTAGGCACCTATAATAGTAAATTTGATCAATTAATTTCTTTAGTTCGTTGCATTACAATAATGATTAAATATATTTGATTAAAGTAACAGAATATTCCAAAATATGATATGCAGAGATTTTGCAACATAAAGTTATCGTTCCATCTAATTGTTTCAAACAAATCAATAATCATAACAAATGTACCCAGATAAATAGTTTAATAATAATATATACTCGAATGTTACATAGAAATTATCTTCTCTAATTTTTGTGTCATGAATATACGTTACTTACTATTATAAAGTTTATAAAATCGTTCGTAAAAAAAAAACTTCACCTTTAATACTGCTTTACGATTCCAAAAAATATCTGGAATGTTATTACGACTAAAAAGATCTCATTTGAAAATTACATGACGCAAAAATTGTAAAATTATATTTGCAGGACACCATAAAAAAAAATTTACAATCGGATAAAATGTTAAAACATTTGAAACTTAAATTTTATGACTGATAATTCTATGAAACGAATAATTAATGATTACCCAATTAACGAAATATGTTGAAAATATACTACATAATAAATATATATATCAGACTACAATACATAATACAAACATTTGATAAATTTCGATAATGCGTTATTTCTGAGAACAATTAAAATTACCTGAACTAAAACAACAATAACCAAATGAGGTCAAATTTTAAGCTTTACCATTATATTGAAGCAGAATTCCAATTTATGCAAAATGTATTCCTGGAAATATACAACACTGTAACCATAATGCTTCAGAAGAACCCACTTAAATCAGATGCTGGGAAATAATATTGTTGCATTATTAATCCGCTTAAGTTATTATATAATATTTGTAAAACGTACGTTAAATCTTTATACACATAAATGATAACTTAATAAATTAACTAATTAATTAGTAATAGCAGCTGAAACAGTTTTTAACGCGATGAGCAGATTATTTGATTGTAAAGATATTTTTCGACCTTGTCTAAACAGAAAAGTCGACAATTTAATCAAAACTATATACAGATTTAATACTCGAAATATAATCACATTATATCTTATTCTTATTTTTGAATAAACCCTTTATAAACAAATATAAACAAGTTATAATATTTACTTTTATTTTAACAAGTGAATTGTATGTTAAAGGTAAATTACGAGTGTCAATTGGAAGCATCTCTAAAGCTTACAAGTGGTGTTGTATAATTAATTAATGCCTTTGATTTTGTATATAATCAGACAATGCTTATTAAATTAACTCATTATTATGCATATGGCGCTGCGAATGATTACACTTATAATAATTAAAAAATATTATATGTATGTATATGTTGATTTTATATAATAACAAATAATATTGTTTCGTTCGAAATAATCTCTTGGTTAAATTTGTGTGACCTCAGCGTTCGGTACTGAACCATTTTTTTGGACATTTGTTCCGTTTACCGGACCTGAAATTGAAATTGGTAGTCCGATTTCATCTTTTCTCAAAACCAACCCAAATAACTGAGCTATCTCACATAAAGGCTACGATTCGATCGTCCATTCAGTTGCTGAAATCATATTCGTGGTTAAACGAGCTGGTTCGGCAGTATAGCCTTAACTTATCCTTTAAACCTACATTTTTGATGGTAGTCTAGACCATTTATATTAACTTTTTTTTATTGTAACATGACTCATAATATTTTCTTAAGTTGGAATGTTGTTATCAAGAATTTTCATCTACTATTTTATTTTTTCAAACAATTTAACAGGAAGAATACGAACAGCTATGCTTAATATGAAAATGAGTGACTTATTCCTATTTCTTTATTAAGAATACTGAAGGCAGACCCAAAAACGATTTACCAATTGAATGATAAAAATATGTATTAAAGTATTTTAGTGCCTATACAAAGTCATACAATAATTTTTCTAAGACAAATTAATTTATGTAGATACCTAATAAAAATCAATGTTTCAATATTTTCTTTACTGATACTGTATATGGATAGTTTGGTGAAAAAAATTGTATTCAATTTTTTACTTTAAAATTATTTATTACTTTATTTAAGGAATTTATTTTGAAGAATAAATATGAAAAGGTACTAAGATTAGGTTCTTGTCAACATAGCTATTGGTTACATTCCCATGGCGATATTACTGAGGATTCAAACGACATTATAAATTAATCAAAATATGTTAAAAGAAATCTTATTTGTATATTATTGGTCTAAAACGACTAGACCTTAAGGACTCAAAATAACATAAACATTTATTAAATGTGCTAGTAATTTAGGATTCTTTCTCTGGTAATAGTATAACTCATATACAGGGTGACTGGTGAATTACTATCAATATTTAAGGAGAATACTCGGTACATGATTCTCATTCGAATTATGTAAAAAAAATAGGCACTTAATTTTTGACAAAATTTCCGTATAAATAAATAAAGTGTAGACACGTTCCAAGTGTTCCAAGTGTGGACGCGTGCTGATACAACACCACGCCGCCGCACGCGTATGTGTGTGTGTGTGTATACCTAATCTGTAGGGTGTTCATACGATGCGTAATTAATTACATAACTTTTGGTTCACTTTACTCAGAAGTTTATTAATATTTATGTTATATTAATTTTTATTTTGGTCATATATGATCGTCAAATATCACGTCCTCAAGTATCGATAGTAATTCACCAGTCACCCTGTATTGTAAACATTACTTAATAATATTGCTAATAAAAATCAATCAGATCTCATAATATGATTTGGGATACATATAAGGTCCAGGTTTCCAATAAACCGTGACTTTGATAATATAATGAAACTCTTTATCAGTTTTGCATATAACATTGCTAAACAATAAGCTGATTTAAAAAATGTATTCTACTCGATTGTAAGGGAAAATAAGATAGTTTTTATTTTGACAAAAAAAAACCACAAGATTGGGACACAAAAAAGTATTTTAAAAATTAAAACCTTTCACCGGTTATTTTTTTACTGTATTGTAAAAAATTTTTGATTAGGTATTCCACATTTGGTAAATTTTAAACGAATGCAGAGTCCTAGATTCTTAAATATATGATTATTTTTTGGTTATGTACATTATTAAATATGAATGTAACAATTAATCCACCGTAGAATATGTGGCGTTGCGAATGTTATAAATAATTTTTACCTTAATTACAAGAATCAGAAAGTTGACAATCATTTGATGTCATTGTTAGTGCTTAAAAAATGTTGCAAAGATTAATTGATTCCCATTTTTATTGACATTACTGTTTTGAAAAAAATATGAGTCTTTCCTTGATAATATATCTTACGTTATTCCTTAATATTGTGATATTTTAAGTTATTGTTTCGAAGTTTCGAACTCAACTAGCAAATCCCCAATTTTTCAACTTTCATACTTAAATTCATCTCCATTTCTGGCAATAAAACAAGACTGTTAATAAAAGTTATCCTATAATAAATAGAATCACAATTGGTTTAAGTGATTAAATCAATTTCTTTATTACAAAAACAGTTTTAAAATAATTACAGGTGAATTACATTAGCCAATCTTCCAACCACTTAGAAGCGAGCATTTATACTTGCATACATACTGCCATCCAAATATACCAACATTATTACTCAATACAGTCAGTTACCAAAATTAAACATAAAATAAAATATATTTTATGAAAAAAAGACATATTATTGAGATATGTTCGAGCAATTAAATTTTATGTTTATCATTACGACGATTTAAAAACGTTTGTAAATACTAAAATCTATATAATACACAACCTTATTATTTATAGCGTGGCGACTCCCTCGACACGGTTTTCACGACATCACCGCCAGAGGTCACTTCAGAAGTCCAAGCAGTTAAAAAGGTACAAGAAGCAGAAGCGTACCAAGAACATGAAATCATTGATGAAAATGTACCGGACATGTTAGAAGGGATAGAACTAACGAAGCTGTCTTATTCTAATATACAGAGCTTGGGTGAATATTTGTCGAACAAGTCGGCAAAGTCCAGTCAGCGGGAATTCGCCGTGAGCAAGTCTAAGAGAATGGATCTCAATTTAGACGGAAAAGCCGGTACTTATTCGAGGAAAAGAGCGAAGAAATTGAAGCAGAGGAAGTCTTGGGAGGATCAGAACTATCAGGAATCTATGGAGCTACAGGATTTGAGGTATTTAGTGGCTTAAAACTCTTAACTAACTTATTCCTTTATTTTACATAGTAGCTACTTTATTAAACTGAATTCGATACAATTTTAACACACTTAATTATAATTTCCTTCTCATTTATATTTGGAAGTGTTCTTTATTAAAAATAAAATATTTAGCTTTATATAACACTAATATTATTATTATAGGCCAATATCTCCACAAGCGACCTCCGAAGATCGATCTCTCCTGAGTCCAGAACAATCCAGCCTGAAACGGACGCCGTTCCACTTTTTCGGATCTCACTTGGACAGCACTAAATCCAAGATAAAGAAGACATTATCCGTGGATACCGGGATGCATCACACCGGGGAGAAAAGTAAGTGGAAAAGTATTTTATGACACAAAAAATGTATATAACACTTTTGAATAGCATAAAAGTTAGAGGATTGTTTACTAAATGATCAAAAAGTATTTCATTACACAAAAAGTGCGTAAGATATTTTAAATCCTACCTGTATCTAACTCATTAGTTATTTAGCTTCCAAATACACACCACACAGAAGAAATAAAGACGAAATATTTCACATATTATAGTAGAAATATAACAAAAAATTTAATAGTCCTATACTTTGTGATATCAGAGTAACCCTTTTAAAGTGGACTAAGTATAATTTTCTTATAGAACGCTCGCGACAGCAGCGCAAGTTCAGCCTGGGATCTTTGTTTGGAAACCGCGGCAGACGACAAGATGTCGAGCTGAATGTAGCCAGTGACACTAGCTGGACTGAAAGGTAAATAATTTAGAAGACTTAAATCATTCAGAATTTTTATCTATCTGTCCTTGTCTATTCCATATATAGAGATAGATAGACAGGTTACAAAAGGAATGTTGATTTTGCGGAACTGCGTGTTTTATAAAATTCTATAGTTAATTGAATCATCCTTAATATATTAATTCTGTCACAGTGCATCAACATCTAGCAGTGACTCGGAATCAATACCACGTACTCCTGGATTCGAAGAGTTTGAAGAAGCTAATGCCAGAAGAGGCAGGAGTTCATCTAGCGCAAGCAGTGTGCCAATGAAAAGCAAAGGTGAGATTTAAAATATTATATAGAAATACTAGAAGATGAAAAATTAATTAGATGGCTAACTTCTTGTATATTGAGGTCAAATGTTTGTTATTCTTTCGTAGGAAAATGATTAAAAAAACGGCATGTTAGTTTATAGTTCTGCTTTCTTATAATTTTTAAGGAGTAATTTGTTTTGATCAAAAATTACACGGGTTCACTTTAAAATGTTCTACCATGTAGTTATAAGTTATAAGTCGTTTTCTTTAATTTAAATTTATTTTTTTATATGACTTCACATAAAAGATTACAAAAATAATTCATTGTTTTATAAAATACTAATTAAATATGAATGAACATGTTTTACAGACAGCGGATCCGACTGGGAGGTGATGATGCTCGTAGAAGAATTAGTGAAGAGGGAACGAGAGAAAGATGATAACAGGAGACAGGCTTACGCTCTGAGAGACTTGGAAGAGGTGAATTAAAAACATGATTTATTTATTTATTTATTATTAGGGAAACATACAACATATCGTATATTACAACTTAATATAATTATCATATTTTGACACTTCTGCCAGTTAAGTTTCCACTACTGTTTAAATGGGGAAGTGGACTAATTTTGATGTAACCTAAAATACAACTATTAATTAATTACTAATGAGTATAATGATATATAATTAATCCCAAAGATTAATTAAAATTGACCCAATCTATATAAACTTATTTCACTATATTAATAATTATCTAATTATATTTTTTACCAGTCATATGTACTTTAGACTATTTAGACACCACTGGCAGATGAAGGAAAACATCGTGAGGAAACATGGACTTATAACCAAATTATAAGTCTGAAATCGCCAACTCGTTTTGAGCAAGCGTGGTGATTAATGCTCATATCTTCTCCATGTGAGAAGAGGTTTTTGCTCAGCAGTGGGCTTCTGATAGGCTGATGATGATATATGTATTTTATTAAAGGAATCCGACACGGCACAACGCGATAGCCTCGATGATTCCAACACTGAAGATTCAGCCTCGCGCAGCCCAACCACAGCTGACAGTGACCCCGCCCTACATGTGTGTATAGATTATATTAAGACTAGCTTTCCGTCCGCAGCTTCGCCCGCGTGGAGTTCGGTTATATCGCGTTTCCAAGAGAACCTTTCAAAAGTCTGGAATAACAACTATCCTATGTTCTTTCTCAAGGTCAACTCTATCTCTGTACCAAATTTCATTAAAATCAATTCAGTGGTTTAGGTGTGAAAGCGTAACAGACAGACAGACAGACAGAGTTACTTTCGCATTTAAATATTAGTAGGGATATGACAGAATATAATACTAATAGAAAATTATTGGCTCAATAAATTTAAATTTTTGCTATATATGTTTTAGTTATAATGCAAATCTGTCATAAATCGTAACTCATTTTTCTTCCAATAATTATGGTGATTTTTTTGGTTATGGAACTGTTAATATGAATATGGTATTGTTATTAGCGGAATGCAATTAAATATATATTTTTGTGTATAAAACTGCTAATACGAACGTAGATATTAAGTCCCATAAATGTTTTTTTTATGTAATAATGTTTTTTATTAGGTACAACCTGAACCGGCAACTTCAAGTCAGTCGAGGGGCCTCATTCTACGTGCATCGAGCTTGGACCGCGACTCCAAAGCTACATCATCACAGCCAAGGAAATACGGCTCATTGAAGAGTTGCAGCTCTGACTACAATAAACGGCTATAAACATCACGAATATATTAAACACGACGCAGATAAATACAATTGTTGTAATGTTAACGTACATTTTGTTAGTGAGCTAAGAAACGAACGAGAGAATCCGAATGGCAACAAAATGTCAGCCAAAATTCAATTGGCTTTCAATTATATTGATCTTAATCATTATTCTTTCAGATATATTAATGTTTATCAAAATAGTAGCCGCATTTATGTGGTAGGGTTTCAATACTTATATATGTTAGATGTCGTTAAAAAAAACATATTGCCAATTTTCTTTGAAATGTGTATTAAAAATATATGGTATACAAAATAGGTGTACAAATGAAATGCACAATGAAAAAAATAAATGTTTTTTAATTTACTTTGTAGATGGTCTATATTTGAATGTATTTTAAGAATGATTCTTGTACTATACTATGAAAAAAAAATTGTAGATTATCTTGTTAGTTGTATAATTTCTTATGAGTTGTGAACTTGTCACGAAAACCGATACAGTTTTCGAGTCATGTATCTATAGCTATTATTTCCTTAAGAATTCAAAGCTTCGATGTCACTCTTTTCAGTGTTACCATTAATAAAACCACTGACAGTTTAGGTGGTAAAATTGTTGGCACATAAAATTATTTAATAATAAGATATTATAAAAAATCTAATATATATATATATATGATATATAACAAAGAAACTATCGAGTTACAGTTCTTGAAATATCTGTCCATACATAAGGAGAAATATTAAAAAAAAAGATTTTATATATATTTGTGCCAAAATATATTAAACTAGATTAAGGCATGTAATTAATGTTATTTATTTTATTATTAAAAAATAAAACGAACTATTAATGGACTATTTAGAATAGTCTTAGATGGAATATTCCGATCGCTTCAGTCTATCCCCTAATCTTTGCAACGTTCCTGTTTAAACCGAATTTTTCCAATATACATATAAATACGTACTATTCGAGAATTTGATTTCAAATTATATTTTTAGAACAATTAAACTAATTTCGAATCATCAATAATGAATTTAGATAGCTTAAATAACGCTGATAAATTAGATTTTTAAAATAAAATATACGTTTACATATTACTTATCAAAATTTATTTATTTTCTTTTTAGAAAAAAATAGGAACGGACCAACGTTATGGACACACACGTATTTATATATATGTCACACTGAAACAGATTTATGTATTTCTTTTAACTGTATACATATATATAATTTCAATTCCTTTTTCCAGATGAACTTCTGTAGATTAAACATTTTAAAGAAAAAAATTGTAGAAAAATATAAGTTATGTAGAAATCAAAACACTTGAAATATATGTAGTTAGTACAGTAGTTATAAAATTAATATATATATATATGTATATGTAACATGAATGATGTAGATGTAACGATGATGAAGGAATATTAAATAAATGAAATCTATCCAACATTATATCTTATTATTTTTCTATTAACATAATCTACCTATATCTAAATTTTTTAAATAACAACTCGATCACCCCAATTAAAAATATTATTTTCTTAGTTACAATCCTAAAACGTTTTTAAGAACCAATAGACTTAATAAATGTTGATAAAAATATATACATTAGTAAGTACATATCGGAAAGATATATGTACATACATTTATGTACTCTTTCCACAAAATAATATGTATGGATTACTTCTGAATAAATCTGCATTCAAATCACACGATGCAAATATCAAGTCAATTATTACACTCGTGGTCTTTTACTCCTTAGTATGGGGTTCCAACAACAATTGCCACTTGAAAAACGCCTGATAATATAAAATAGCAATCCCAATAAAAGGGAGATTTAGTTAAACTTATAGGCCAGAGGAAGATGAATCCTTTTGTTGTGATTTTTATATAAAAGAAATTATTTCATATAGTATGTCTTATTTTGGATCTGGTACTTTTCCTAAAGCTGTATATTAGCTAAATATATATGTATATTGAAATTCTAAATTATAGATACGTCATTACGCTTTCAAACAAGTAAGTCCGTGCAAGTTGTGGAATGATATTTCTTCTATGGTTTTGCAAGGAAACTTTCGTAAATCTAGTATTCAAGTTTATTATGCAGAAAAAAATAAACATGTTATTGAAAAATGTATTATGGAGAAATGTCCACAAAACATTTTACGTTGCTAATCTTATAGACAACACTGTTAGCACATAAATCTTCAAGAATATTCTGGAATTTTATAGTAAAACTTTTGCTGTTATAAAGTTTATTTAAATAAATCTTATCCTGTATTAATCGGGCTCTTGCTCTTCGGATTATTCAATAGAAGCAACAAGTTTTATTAGATTATCTTGTACCAGAAGATTACTATTTCGCCCCGATAGCGTAGTAGTATATAAATTTAAAAGTCAGTGGTGGCCTAGTAGTTAAAGGGCCCGCCTCTCGTTGCCGAGGGCGCCGGTTCGATCCTGCCCCGGGCGAGTACCAATGTGATTTTTCCGAGTCATAATATGTACTTTGTAAGAGTATTTAGACATCACTGATTAATTTTGATTCCCAAAAGAGGGTTGATGTCAGGCAGGCGGCCGGTCGTAAAAACAAATAGCCAAAAACTATTCACAAGATGTAAGGCAGAGCCTGACTATAGCTGGGAAATTGCCAGGTAGAAGAAGAAGCGTAGTAGTATATAAATATTAATATTTTTCGATGCCTTTCTAAGGATGAGTAGAGAGTGATTTAGCCCTTAATGGTCGATATTTTATTAACAAACATCCTTAACCAGACATAAACATTTCTCCACTCAGAACCAGTATGCTGTACCGATGATAATTTTGTTTAAGCTACTAACAGTTTGCGTCAAGCTTGGTAAAAAAAACCAGCTTTGGCATTACGTATCTTACAGAAGTCTAAAATTGCAGAAGTAAACTGTGTATATACATGTATATATATATACATACATAAGTAGAGGGAGCCAGTGGTGGCCTAGTAGTCAAAAGACCCGGGCAAGTTCCAATGTGATTTTTTCGAGAGTATTTAGACATCACTGATTAATACGTTCCCAAAGAGGGTTGATGTCAGGCAGGCGGCCGGTCGTAAAAACAAATAGCCAAAACTATTCACAACATGTAAGGCAGACCCTGGCTAAAGCTGGGAAATTGCCAGGAAGAAGAAGACATAAGTGGAGGGAAATTTGTTTTCATAAGTATAGCAGCGCTTTTGATAAAGTCTGGCCTAATATACGTTTTGTTTCATATCAATAATAATAACGCCACATTTTAAGCTCAGTTGTAGTCTGAATTTTATAAAGTGCTCCAATTCTGATATAGATAAAAAAACAAGGCAGTTTTTATATTTGGCGATTACAGCTTTCAACATCTGAAAGAGCCTAAATTTGAGTTCTCGTTGAAATAAGGCAAGCCGATGTTACATTATTTGATCAGATTAGATATTTACGCTTTTTGAGAGAAAAGTTGCTATAGGAATAAGTAAGTAACATTCGACTCTTTCATTTTGAAAACGATACGCAATTAGTTACTGTACTCCAACCTAGCTAATAGCTTACTATTAACCTTAGTTGAGTTACTGAGATATTAGCTTGCAGCTACACCATACACGAAATGCAATACTTGTTGCTTCAAGGCTCAAAAACTAGAAGAAATACTTTTTTAGTAATATATATATATTTTATTATTATTAATTCTTCCTTTCCTTTAAATATTTTAGAATGTTGCCGTTTAAATACTTATAATATTTATTATTAGTTTATATTCTGTCATATGATAAGAAAATCAATAACAATGTTGATATTGCAACACCGCTAGTTTGATGTCAAAGTGAAGAAGTGCAATCAATCGCAGTATTACGTACTTTGTGTACCGTGGTGTGGTGTGGTGCATAATACAAAGGAGCGTAAAAAAATATTTTAATTAAAAGTTTAAATATTCCTAATATATTAACGAAGTTGGTGTTAGAATATCTCATAACTAATACAATTAAACAGATTTCGGGGTTTATTTTATTGTTAGCTGGTCGTTTAAAGGTAAAGAAATGTCGCCTCGTAAGCAACCACCCACCCTATTCAAATTAGCTGTTAGAAGTTCTCTTAAATTTATTAACGATTGTTGTTATGACATCGAGAAAGAATATTCGGAAAACGAATTAAAGAAATATAAGAGGCGCATACTCGCGTTGAAGACTTTCCTCCTGGCTACACTACCAGCCAGGTAAGGGCGAGGGTTTATTGATTTTCACAAATTCTAAATCGTATGCAATCTGGAAAAAATTTGGCTTTATTTCATATATTTTCCCCCTCCTTAAGTTATTTTGCGTTATAAATCCTAAATTTCCAGGACCCCAGCCATTACCTAGATGTATTGATTTTCCTTCAATATGCAGTTGCGATCGATAAATATGTTCCTGCGAAATGGTTACTTCTACCTGAAAATTTTATGATAGTCGAATATTTTGATAACAAAGCGCATATATTATTATTTACATTGATTTGCATATAAATTAAAAAATATATATTGCATCTACTCTTGTAATACTAGATGCAATTAATAACACTTGATGCAGTTTTATGAAATCTGTATGCCACACCCTCAAAGCTGTTTAAAAACAAACATTCATTGAAAACTGTTAATGATTCTGAGCTTTGTACTTTCATGCAAGAAAGTAAAAAATATTATAATTAAAAATATTCTAGAACATAAAGGAAACTTGAAAGCCACTATGAGAACTGTGTATTCTTATCTAACATCTTGATTTTTTTTTAAATTTTGAATGCCTTGACACTTAAATGAAGTAAATCTAAGCAAAATATAAAAAAAATTCTGCCATAGAATAAAAACTCTTTGTCTGACAAAACAAAAAATATATATGAGATCTCCTGACTTAAAGCTGACTGCAACAGTTACTGCTCTGCCTTACAAATACTGCTAGCGATGTTAATGTGCAAAAAGACAAGTGGTCTCAACGGTTCAGTTTACAAAGGCTGGTCTTTGTCCGGCTGAACAAAGATAAATATGACATCTTCTGACTTAAAGCTGACTGCAACAGTTACTGCTATGCCTTACAAATACTGCTAGTGGTGTTAATGTGCAAAAAGACAAGTGGTCTCAACGGTTCAGTTTACAAAGGCTGGTCTTTGTCCGGCTGAACAAAGATAAATATGACATCTTCTGACTTAAAGCTGACTGCAACAGTTACTGCTCTGCCTTACAAATACTGCTAGTGGTGTTAATGTGCAAAAAGACAAGTGGTCTCAACGGTTCAGTTTACAAAGGCTGGTCTTTGTCCGGCTGAACAAAGATAAATATGACATCTTCTGACTTAAAGCTGACTGCAACAGTTACTGCTCTGCCTTACAAATACTGCTAGTGATGTTAATGTGCAAAAAGACAAGTGGTCTCAACGGTTCAGTTTACAAAGGCTGGTCTTTGTCCGGCTGAACAAAGATAAATATGACATCTTCTGACTTAAAGCTGACTGCAACAGTTACTGCTCTGCCTTACAAATACTGCTAGTGATGTTAATGTGCAAAAAGACAAGTGGTCTCAACGGTTCAGTTTACAAAGGCTGGTCTTTGTCCGGCTGAACAAAGATAAATATGACATCTTCTGACTTAAAGCTGACTGCAACAGTTACTGCTACGCCTTACAAATACTGCTAGTGATGTTAATGTGCAAAAAGACAAGTGGTCTCAACGGTTCAGTTTACAAAGGCTGGTCTTTGTCCGGCTGAACAAAGATAAATATGACATCTTCTGACTTAAAGCTGACTGCAACAGTTACTGCTCTGCCTTACAAATACTGCTAGTGGTGTTAATGTGCAAAAAGACAAGTGGTCTCAACGGTTCAGTTTACAAAGGCTGGTCTTTGTCCGGCTGAACAAAGATAAATATGACATCTTCTGACTTAAAGCTGACTGCAACAGTTACTGCTCTGCCTTACAAATACTGCTAGTGGTGTTAATGTGCAAAAAGACAAGTGGTCTCAACGGTTCAGTTTACAAAGGCTGGTCTTTGTCCGGCTGAACAAAGATAAATATGACATCTTCTGACTTAAAGCTGACTGCAACAGTTACTGCTACGCCTTACAAATACTGCTAGTGATGTTAATGTGCAAAAAGACAAGTGGTCTCAACGGTTCAGTTTACAAAGGCTGGTCTTTGTCCGGCTGAACAAAGATAAATATGACATCTTCTGACTTAAAGCTGACTGCAACAGTTACTGCTCTGCCTTACAAATACTGCTAGTGGTGTTAATGTGCAAAAAGACAAGTGGTCTCAACGGTTCAGTTTACAAAGGCTGGTCTTTGTCCGGCTGAACAAAGATAAATATGACATCTTCTGACTTAAAGCTGACTGCAACAGTTACTGCTCTGCCTTACAAATACTGCTAGTGATGTTAATGTGCAAAAAGACAAGTGGTCTCAACGGTTCAGTTTACAAAGGCTGGTCTTTGTCCGGCTGAACAAAGATAAATATGACATCTTCTGACTTAAAGCTGACTGCAACAGTTACTGCTACGCCTTACAAATACTGCTAGTGATGTTAATGTGCAAAAAGACAAGTGGTCTCAACGGTTCAGTTTACAAAGGCTGGTCTTTGTCCGGCTGAACAAAGATAAATATGACATCTTCTGACTTAAAGCTGACTGCAACAGTTACTGCTCTGCCTTACAAATACTGCTAGTGGTGTTAATGTGCAAAAAGACAAGTGGTCTCAACGGTTCAGTTTACAAAGGCTGGTCTTTGTCCGGCTGAACAAAGATAAATATGACATCTTCTGACTTAAAGCTGACTGCAACAGTTACTGCTCTGCCTTACAAATACTGCTAGTGGTGTTAATGTGCAAAAAGACAAGTGGTCTCAACGGTTCAGTTTACAAAGGCTGGTCTTTGTCCGGCTGAACAAAGATAAATATGACATCTTCTGACTTAAAGCTGACTGCAACAGTTACTGCTACGCCTTACAAATACTGCTAGTGATGTTAATGTGCAAAAAGACAAGTGGTCTCAACGGTTCAGTTTACAAAGGCTGGTCTTTGTCCGGCTGAACAAAGATAAATATGACATCTTCTGACTTAAAGCTGACTGCAACAGTTACTGCTACGCCTTACAAATACTGCTAGTGATGTTAATGTGCAAAAAGACAAGTGGTCTCAACGGTTCAGTTTACAAAGGCTGGTCTTTGTCCGGCTGAACAAAGATAAATATGACATCTTCTGACTTAAAGCTGACTGCAACAGTTACTGCTCTGCCTTACAAATACTGCTAGTGATGTTAATGTGCAAAAAGACAAGTGCTCTCAACGGTTCAGTTTACAAAGGCTGGTCTTTGTCCGGCTGAACAAAGATAAATATGACATCTTCTGACTTAAAGCTGACTGCAACAGTTACTGCTCTGCCTTACAAATACTGCTAGTGATGTTAATGTGCAAAAAGACAAGTGCTCTCAACGGTTCAGTTTACAAAGGCTGGTCTTTGTCCGGCTGAACAAAGATAAATATGACATTTTCTGACTTAAAGCTGACTGCAACAGTTACTGCTCTGCCTTACAAATACTGCTAGTGATGTTAATGTGCAAAAAGACAAGTGCTCTCAACGGTTCAGTTTACAAAGGCTGGTCTTTGTCCGGCTGAACAAAGATAAATATGACATCTTCTGACTTAAAGCTGACTGCAACAGTTACTGCTACGCCTTACAAATACTGCTAGTGATGTTAATGTGCAAAAAGACAAGTGGTCTCAACGGTTCAGTTTACAAAGGCTGGTCTTTGTCCGGCTGAACAAAGATAAATATGACATCTTCTGACTTAAAGCTGACTGCAACAGTTACTGCTCTGCCTTACAAATACTGCTAGTGATGTTAATGTGCAAAAAGACAAGTGCTCTCAACGGTTCAGTTTACAAAGGCTGGTCTTTGTCCGGCTGAACAAAGATAAATATGACATCTTCTGACTTAAAGCTGACTGCAACAGTTACTGCTCTGCCTTACAAATACTGCTAGTGATGTTAATGTGCAAAAAGACAAGTGCTCTCAACGGTTCAGTTTACAAAGGCTGGTCTTTGTCCGGCTGAACAAAGATAAATATGACATTTTCTGACTTAAAGCTGACTGCAACAGTTACTGCTCTGCCTTACAAATACTGCTAGTGATGTTAATGTGCAAAAAGACAAGTGGTATCAACGGTTCAGTTTACAAAGGCTGGTCTTTGTCATGTAAATACTAGTAAAAAAAACTTACCCTTTTTTTATTTAACTGTTGTGAATTATAGAAGAAATGCACATTCATGAGATCCATAAGTAAAAAATACAGAGATCAGAGTATAAACTTGTATGTTATCTGACTAATGCTACTTTATTTCTTAAAGCCTTCTGCAGTCAAATTGCAATAAATATCAATCATGTCTTCATTCTTGTTTAACTATAACCAACCAACCACCCAACGTATTATTGGCAATAATCGTAAATTGAATGTAACAGGTAGATATGACTTTATATACGATATTTTTAAAATTAAATAATAATTATTCTTCATCATTTACCTTACGCAATTAAAGATTTCTTATGTATAAACTAGAGCTTAAAAAAGAGATTAAGTACTTCGAAAAATATATCTATACATCAATACTCAATAAAGATATTATTTCACAGGTTGTTCGATGCACTCTGCTTGGAGAGAAAACATATCCGTTACCGCGGAGACCCTCGGGTCCAACTGCATGTTCTGATACATCCGAGGATGACCGTTTTCCGCAGGTCGGAAACAGACACCAGCATCACCCAGCACTTCTGGCTGAAAACCATACCCTGGTTCAGCCGCCTCGTCGTCCTTGACCTCAAATTCCTTTGCACCGACGAGATCCTCGAAGTGGTCGCGACTAAATGTCACTTGTTGGAGGAGCTGAACATGGTCTCTCGGGTGGATGTGTGCAAGTCCGTCATCAACGCTTCGGTCCTTCTGAGGAACGTGTCGGACGTAGGTCTCTGCTGCGTCAGCCATCTCAAGAAGCTGAAGGTCCTCTCCATGGACCCGCCTCGTCACGAGAAGTGCAGCCGTGTAGGTCGTTGCGTCACCCAGGCTGGCATCATCATGCTGATATGCGAGCTGCCCAAACTTGAGGAGCTCAATATAGAATCCTGCGACATAGGGTCTACATTGATCGGTACGGGCATCAAAATAGGTCCGTTGAGTCTCAAGAAGGTGAACTGTCACTTCGCATCAGCGGATGGCATCAGGAAGTTGATACAAATGTGCCCCGATCTACAGGAGCTGTCCATCACACACCTGACCACCAACGACAAAGAGTTGATTCTCGCTGAGATAACTTCCAGCAATCTGCGTCTGAATAAACTCAATATGTCTTTCTTCTCCTATACGGATTCTTTGCGCAAGTTGTTGCAGGTGCAGGGCAAGTATCTGACACATTTCTCGCTCTGGGACATCGATCAATCCATAACTATGGATGCAGTTGTAAACATCGGTCTCTGCTGCCCCAACTTGACTAACTTCAGTCTGATCACTCAGTCCGATCAGCTGACCCTTCCCCCATCCCTGACCCGATCTCATAAAATCTTCAAGAAAATCAGGTATCTAACCCTGGGGAACGAGAACTTCGACCTGGAGAAGGTCATGATGTTTTTCTTAAACCATTCAGATGGGATCGAGAGTCTCGTCCTCAAATATCAGGTGAAGTTACCTTTCAATAATGTCATTACAAATATCCTAAACAATGGTTATTTGAACAACATCACCAACCTGTGGTTGGATTGCACTTTGGATGTGTCTAAAGATGTTGTCATGAAACTGATTCTCAACTGCGATGAGCTGACAACCCTGACTGCTGACTTCGGTGAGGCTTTGGCTGACATAGTCGATTACATTAACGACAACAATCTCAATCTTAGATTGGGAGGCTATTAAGTGTATACATGTGTATTAATTTATTGATGTAACCATTTTAAACTTATGCAATTATCCAATAAATTATAATCAATTTAACCAAGTAATGTTGTTTTATTACATTTTCTCCCTCTATAACAAAATAACTCTCACTTAGAAAATCCTTAAGTCAGATATAGACTTTTTTATGCATTTTGTTCTAAACAGAATTTTAAGACTGTTTTCAAGGAAGTATTAACGAATATTCTTCAAAGATTTTTCTTTTAAATATATAAAACTCAATAAAAAGGTACTATTTGGTTTGAAATGAAAATTCCATAGTCGAATAAAATTGTAATGTGTATTTAGATATGAAAAGCACAGTCAGAGGTTTATATTTTACAAACATTGATATTTTTAAAAAATTATAAGATTCCATGCATACATTTGTGTATCATAAAATACATGCAATTAAATTTTTCTCAAAATTAATTTTTTAAACTGCAAGATTTTACGAACAATACACTAATTATAAAGTAATCAAAAATTTGATTAGGATAATACAGAACCATATTCTTACCATTTTGATAGATACATAATATATATATAAAAAGCTTGATTTTTACTTAAATCTATCTAGCAATGATGACCAATGAAGTATAAATTGCTTATTTAAAAGGACAATACACTGATAATTCATAGAGACCTTTGAATAACATTAAAGGTGTTATAAAAGATTTGATTTTCTTAAAATACAAATTCTCAAAGTTAATAAAAGTCTTAATAGATATTTACTTACCGTTTAAAAGTCTAATTAGAATGTTAGAAGTAATACCACAATATTGTATTATATTAAAAAATTTAAATATATCGATTGTATTTAAAATGTAAATCTAAATATTCATTAACTACTCATGTCCATTTAAAAGATCATTTGTTAAATGAATTGCTTGTTATTCGTATTTACATGTACTTATATATATATTGGACACACCCTTATGTAATAAATATTATATATGAGTAACACTCACAGAACATGCAAGAGGAACTTTATAAAACCTAGTACATACATTTTTAAAAATTTAATGAATATATACCTTACTTATGCACTAACGTTATGAAGCTTATGATAGAATTTAATATAATGAAAAGTAATGTATGAAAGATTACATTTCTATCTAGATGATTTTTACATACAAATAGCAAAATTCTTAGTATATTACAAAATTTCTGTGCGGTTTTTACAATAGTATTCTAGCTAACTAATAAATACAGTCGCTACTTCATTGCATTGAAAATTTGTCACTAGGCTATCAAATAAATGTAACAGCCATTATATGTATTTAATAGATGGACAAAAAACTATTGAAATACAATCATTATCAGTAAAACATTGTCATATTTACTGACTTATTTCAGATTTCTACTTAAATTATTAAATTTAACTATTTAATACATGTTTTATATGCATGCAATACCTAATACTAGCTTATAGTGTTCGACTATCAAATTCTAAGCTATTGCTAGACTGACTTTGATAAAACTACCTTAAAACTAAAGCATATATTACCTCAAATCTATCGTCTTGTCAAACATCACTCACTGATCAAATCTCATATAACACAACACTACACATAGTCACAGTCATCATCATGTCTAAACACTGAATGTCTTTCAATATATGTATTTATATATTGATTTAAGCTCAAGAACTTCACTTTTTCCTGGCTTTTTTACACCGCCCGCGTCATATTGGCCGTTTGCGCTTCGTTTTATTTATTTGTTAGGGTTCCTTGACCTCTGGTAGTGATTCCTTGTCGTTATCTTTGTCATCGTCAAAGAATTCATTCTTGGGCTCGACCATCTTGTCAGCTTCTTCTTGTGTTATCCGGATGTCGGGGTCCGGCTCCTCCTTTATCCTGTATTCCTCGGGAAGGAAATCACCTACAAAAATATATATTATTAAGGATATGTTAATAAAATATTACTTCATCTGTTTTGATAAAACTTCAATGGTATACAGCTTATGTAAATGATTATAGTTTTGGGTGATTAGCATTAATTTTAACTTTAATACTTGGAAATGGGTCTTATAAGACTTAACAAGGAGATTATAGAAATAATCTAAAACTCTCAATGGATATCAAAAAATTACCAATTAAACACTTCTTTGTATGGAAGAAATAGTACTTTATATACACAAAATCCATATATATAATATATAAATGTAATATTAACCTGGTATATGTGTCATTTGTACAGCAGGGGAGTGTTGGCACATCTTCAGATTGTCATAAACATGTTTTGTTATCGCTTCCAAATATTGCTTGCTGTTTGCATTTGATGTACTGAAAATTCACATTTATATTAATAACATATATTATATCATAATTACAGAGTAATATGATGTTGTAAAACATATATACCTGTTAATTTCTGGATGCAATTGAAAATCTGGTGCAAAGAACTCCAAGTATTCAGTGTATGGCAGTTCATTTGATATATTTTCATCAACCAATAATGATGTTTCGTACGTCCAACATCTGGCTACGTTACGCAGGGTGTATCTATTAGAAAAACAACAATATATATAATAATTAAACATATTTTCTTTATATTAAAAATTAATACTAAGGTCAGTTCGGGGAAGACCGGTATATAAAATTTTAAAAAATACAAATGGTCTTAGTTTGGCGATGCTATAAGCTTCATTCCAAATATGGTTGAACTAAATGATAGCATGTTTATTTGACCAAATTATAAACGTGTGAAAATGACAATTAAAGCATTGGTTCAGAAAATAAACCAATTTTTTGTTTTAAATAGTGAAATAAGACGGATTTGGCACCCATGTTGGCTATGACCGTCTACTGGCAAAATTCTCTAGTTAGCGGTAGCTAGTGTAGTGATAGATATCATCTGTCTAAATGTATATGTGTGCGAATGCCAGTTCATATAACAACTTCATATGTGCACCCTAACTCGCAGAAATAACATTTTATTTCACTCATTTGACTAGATTCTACATTCGTCGGCGAAGACCATCATTCAGGGGTTGTAAACGATTAATAATAACTAATAAGTAGAATCGTCTGATAACTTTATTCGTGTTAGACAATCTTACCCTCCAGACGATCTTACCCGAACTGACACTAGGTATACATGTTAATCAATTACTTACCCACCACCACCCACAACAAGAGTCGGCACATTCAAGTTCTTAACAAACTTCACACATTCACCATGACCTCGAGTCGATAGTGAGAAACAGCCGAGTCTATCACCGGCTAATGAATCAGCACCACATTGAAGAACTATTGCAGTGGGGCGGTAAAACTCCATCACGTTTGATATAACCGGTTTAAATATCTACAAAACATAATATTACATCAACAAAAACTATATATTTATAACTAATTTATGCCTTTGTATAGGAAATAACGATATTACATCTTTTAAAAATGAATTTCACTAGTAACAAGACTGAATGGTGGAAGCTAATATAAATGATCTTCCTACATTATGACAGACTATTATTTAACAACTACTAAATATAACTTGTGTAGTATTCAATAAAACTATACTTATTTATATTATATGTATTGTGCTACAAAACTGAATAACAGAACATAATATGAAAAGATTACCTACATTATACTTGACATACTACATATTATTTAACAAAATCAACCAAGTATAACTAAACATTATGAAAATTACATTCCTATAATAAATAACCATAATAATATAAATTACCTGCACATAGCTCTGATCGTCAATACCCTCCTTTAAGGGTACATTAACCGAGAAGTATCTGCCACTCTCGGCTCCGATTTCATACATATCACCAGTTCCGGGGAAGAAATAGTTGCCGTACTTATGGAAACTAACTGTCATGACTCTATCGGTCAGATAAAAGGCCTCTTGGACCCCATCTCCGTGATGAACGTCAATATCAATGTACAATACCCTCGGATGATATTTAAGCAGTTCGAGAACAGCTATCACGATATCATTGACATAGCAGAAACCTGGAGACAATGTGATATCATATAGCTTATTGTGTTAAAATATTAATTTTACTAGATTATTGTATTTATTCCCCAATTTGTAGTTTAAATCATGATTAAATTTAATTCCTGCTAGTCGACAAGACATAAAAGTCTTTACATTTTATTTCAAACTGTACAATAAATGTTTTATATCTGTACTAAAATGAAATTGTTTGATATTTATAAACAATATTGAATTTTATATTGTTACATAAGTCGGTGATTTAAGTATTAGTTGTAACTGAAAACTTGATTCAGTGTTATTTTATTGATTAATTTATTATGTAATGTTCAATAATTTTGAGGAATAAGATTTTCTTTACAATGTTTCCCTTTGACTGCAAAATTATACTTTTGATATAAAATAAACTCAGTCCTTATATAACCATTATGTAGTATGCTTATTATCTCAACTAGAGTCAGGGCAAATCAACAAAATACAATACTTTAGAAGAAAGGGAATCAAATATTTTGTATTTTTAAATTGTCAAGTATATTTTCAATTAAATTTTAATTCTATTAATATATAATACCCACCAGATGGTTCAAATTTCTTAGCATGATGCAAACCACCCGACCAGTTAATGGCTATATCGCAGGCGTTGTTGTTTAATTTCATGGCACCTTCGAGAGACGCTCCCGTGTACATGGAACAGAAGTCGAAGAGGCCTTCGAACACTGGACAGTCATCACCTACATTGTAGTGCAGTAAATCCTTGGAATATGCTGGAATTAAAACACTTTTGTACGATACAAATATATAAAATTTAAGCCTTACTTTACGACAAAACAAGACTGGTGATGCGCACTATAAGAAAGTGGTAGAGTATGTAATTCTATAATAGCTTACTTTGTATATTCTGCGGAGTGACATTCTGAAGGAATTCTATGTAATCCTCGCTGTGGAAACGGCACATATCATGAGCACTCGCCCGATACGGCCTATAGACTTGCATCTTCTTGTGGAGCCCATAATTGAGAACGAGGGAATGGGTGACCGAGAGCCTATGCGGCTTCATGGGGTGTCCGGGCCCATAGTGGAAGTTCCCCACATCAGGGTTGTAAAAATACGCAACCCTCTGCTGACTCATAGTGAAACAAACACGTAATCTTTTAAAATCAATATAACACCTAGAACTAATGCAATAAATACTAAACGCTTGGTCAACTGGATGTCCCCTATCATAGTTCTATATGCATTCCGAAATATTCTCAAAGTAGGTAAATTCACTTCAGAGATATTTATAATTTTTTATGAAAAAAAAACAAAGCATTTCATCGGCATTAAGCAGAGGGTATTAATGGCGGCGCGTCAAGTAGACAAGTGACAATATTTTATAGACTACTAATATTCTATGATATTAAAATTATATCCAAAATGGAAATTAATAAATTTGATACAAGATGCAAAATAAATTAAGAATTTAAAGTATTGTAAATTAAATTATATTTTGTTTTGTTATGACTGTATGTCTAAAACCATGAGGTATAACACAGTTGCAATGCGCTGAAATGTCAAGCGACAAGCACCGTCATTAATTGCCGCATCCAATAAGTCTTACCGGCTTTATCGAATTATTATCTGGGATTTTTAAAACATTCTTCTATCGAGAATAAGCGCTGTGAACATATAAAACAGCGAAATTAAACAACTTTTGGTAAGTCGAGCCACGTTATGTCTGTTAGAGATGTTTTTTTTCTTATTAGATTAAGCTTTAAATGTACCGTTCCTATAAATACCCGAAACTTTGAACTGTTCGGTCTATTTGTTGTTTAAATAATTCATGCATGCTGTTACGTAACATATGGTAGGGAGATTGAGTAATTTAAAGTTGTTTTTCTCCTTAGATAGTCTTATAATTAAAGAAGATTCATTATAAGTGTGTATACGTTAAAAAATCCAATAGTTTCGTGGAAATTTCCAGCAACAAATGACAGTTTTTGCATACAAATATGCCGTATATTTTGTTATTGAAATAACCTTATTAAATTCAAGCTTACTTTCCCCTTTACATTATCTATAGCTATTTTTATCTCATTATGTATACTAATATTACTAACCTCTTTTAAGATAAAAAATAAATAAAAGTAATGTACCAATCTTAGTTTCTTTATAGATACAGAAAGATCATTTTCAACTCATTGTAAATATTAATATCACAAATTTGACTTATTTTAATTATTAAATTTGTATTCATTATAAAAATATATACCTTCATATAACATACAAAATAAAACGTATAAAAACTGCCAATTATTCAGAATAATTATTATATTTTTCCATAGACTTTTTAATATATATGTTGTTACCTTCAGCCGTCGAAGTTCAGTTTAGTGACCCATCACTTCATTAGTGACTTTGTAAAATTACAGAATGATTGTATACAATTTATATATGATTCCTTCAATTACAGTATCATAACATCCTTTGCATTAACGAGTTAGTGGTTGTGTTACAAAGTACTGTCGGGCACACAAGTGCTTATTAATTTACATATTTTTCACTAAACTAAAAGATTTTACGGAATTTGCCAGTATTAATATGAATAATAGATATATATGTATACCACTTTTATATTAAAATATTATTAATTTATTAAAATTCTATAGAATGATTTACATAAAATGTATTATCTGTTTAAGTGTATGATCAAAATTAATTTCAGTATCTACTATATAAATATATATTAAATGCACTTTTCCACTTGTCTGTACATGTGGCGACCGGTTCTTTTATATAGCGTCGCGTTATATAGAATATGTTCAGTTGTGGTATAGCCATCGAGACGAACAGTTGTTAGAAATGGGTAAATTATTGAGATTTGCGATACTTTTGTTAATAGCAGACAGCACTATGGTCAATTTTAGGGTGCTAGCGAGAGCCATGTCGTCCGTCGCTAAGGCTTTCGAGGCGAATGCTGTGGTCCCGGATGTTGTACCGAAGGCACCGGAAGCTGAGGTCACGGTAAGTTAGTTAGTGCTAACATTAATCTTAGTATAATCAAAGGCTTTATATTTTAATGTAATGGTCTGTAACTGCCTTATAGTGGTTTTGATAATATGCAAAGAGGTTTTATTGCATAACGCAATATGCGATCGTGTGTCGCCCGGTTTTTAATAAATAATTTGAATGTCAAATGTATATGAGAGAAAGTTTGTATTCGATTTCATATTTGTTTGAAAATCACAATAAAGAAAGTTGGTTTCGTATAACTAAGTGATAGTATTTATTGAGGTGTCCGCAATACCTAATGTCAACAAGGCCAACGAAACGAGATAATTTATGTAAACAGATTATTAAAGTCCCAAATAAATTTTTAATCTATATGCAGTTTATGCATAATTAAGATAAGTTATTTTTACATTTCAAAAAATTTTTGGTTGATTATTATCGAGTGATAAAGTCAAAGATTTGCTCAAATATTACCATAAACGAAGATTTGACATAATTTCAAGTTTTTGCTATTCAAAATAAAGAAGGAAAGGAAGAATTGTTATTTGGGTTATTTAAATTAGGCACTTACTTAATACGAATTAATTCTTATACCCAGAAACAGAATCAGAACTACCAGTTTTATTTAATACCTTCAGACTATACGTGTTAAAGTAAAGATGTTACTTGCGAGTATATAGAGAAGTTAGCGTTAAATCTGTAATAACTATATATACAGATATAATATAAGGTATATATGTATAAGAAATATTCCCTATTAGATTTCTTATTATCTATGAATACTCGACATAGACAACCAAAACAAAACACTTTTTAATTATGAACTCTGTGGATCTATACGTAATTCGTAAGTGCATATAAATTAACAAAAATAATCCGACTGTTGATAATGTCATATCAAAGTTGATAAAAAAAACAGGATTTGATTATGTAAATTTTGTCATAAATTTTATATATTCATACCTTGTAAAGATCACAGAAAATTCGACATACATAATCTGGCATAATCATTCCTCGTAATCTTTATAATTACACACAAAAGCCTACTGAATAAAGATGTTTTTCATTTGCATAAATATCTACTTTTCTAAGGAAAATAAATGGTTTTCAATTGTACCTCCTAAAATATTTGTTACTAATAGACTATCATTAGTCCGAGTTCGCGTCACAATACTTAGAGTTAATAGTATACCAATTATTAAACTTCCTAGGGTATAGTAGATATTATTGTTAAATGACAAATAAATTTTTCCTTAATTTTAAGATAAGAAATACTTATTATTTTATACTTGCGCCGTTTTTCTCTAACATTAAATGATAAATCATGATTTCATCAAAAATGGTTCAGCATAGTTCTAGACATTTCCATATGTTTTTGAATTGGTTAGAACATATACGTAATTTTTATTATATGTATTAATGAGTCCTTAGTAGAAGATACTCAAATAACAAAGCTTGAAATTATTACAATAGAAAAAAAATATTAAACGTTATTACTATAGATTAATTAATATGAAATAATTAATGTCAAAATTTAATTATCCTATTAAAAAGATATAAATTGTCTTAAATCATACGCATTTAAATAAATCGATTTTCTTTTGTCATCCATTAAAACAATAGGTAGTACGTATAAAATTTTAAATGGCCTAAAAATTTTTTTCTCGAATACTAATTACCGTCACATAACAACGAAAAGGTTTTTATTATATCCACTTACTATTTAAACGTCTAAAAAATGCAAAATACAAACTTCAAAAATCGCCATTGGTAGTACAAAATGTGAAACGAAGTAGTATCACCTAATTCTGTTATACTTACTAAACTATGTAAATGATTTAATTCAAGGTTAAATACGTCAGCGGTGTCGAAGTTAATTTTGGCAACGAGTTGACTCCGACCCAAGTGAAGGATGTACCGAACGTGAAGTGGAACGCTGTACCCGACACTTACTACACATTGGCTATGACTGGTGAGAGAAAACAATGATTATATAGAAATATATTAGGTATTGCCTAGCTGTGGTCAAGTTACTACAGCTCGAACAAGAGCTAGCTCGCCCGCGTACCACCCTCTCACAGAAGATCGGTGTGTAGTAGCCTTTAGGCCTCGGCCTCGAATTTTGCGGGCAGCGGAGCGGCGGCGGCGGCGGCACGGAAACGCATACATTTCTCCAAAATAGCGGGCAGCGGGCACCGCTGTATTCGAGGGTCGGTCCATTTGATTATACGCGTAAGATCCTGCCGCTCCCGCTGCCGCTCCGCTGCCCGCAAAATTCGAGGCCGAGGCCTTAATGGCTGAGTTTCGTTCGATGAGTGAGAGAGCCGGTTGCCCATTCTCTATTCCCACACATTCCTACCATTTCCTTATTCCCACCCCTCCCTATTCCTAAAAAAACAAGGTTGGTAAAGCAGCCTCTCTTATGTCTAAGCTGTTTGCTCGTTGTGCCACCTTTCACATAGAAAAAAAGAAGTATAACGTAATTTACTTAATCAACAATCGAAAATATTAATAAACAATTTGTGTTCAACTCTGATAAATGTTTAAACGAAAGATAAATGCAACATAGTATGAACAAAACCATGAAAAGTTGGTCTAAACATTTATTACATAATAATATAGTCATTTTCAATTTATAGAATTTTATTAACCGATCGTTCGTATCGTAAATGTTGTTGATAACAGAAAAGTTTTTAACATGGCGACAACATTTTAGATGTCAAAAGATTTTAGTGTTTAATAGGGCGCGGGTTCGAAACCTGGCAAGTACCAATGTGATGTTCCCGAGTCATATGTACTATCTAAGAGTATTTAGATACCACTCACAGATGAAGGAAAAAAATCTTGAGGAAACCTTCACTTATTTATAATTCCAAATCATAAATTTGAAATCACCAAACCGTCTTGAGCGAGCGTGATTAATGCTCAATCTGCATGAGATAAGAGGTCATTCATCATTGGTCTTTAATATTATGATGTTCTATATCTGTTCTCTATAGACCCAGACGCACCATCTCGCGCTGAGCCCCAGTTCCGTGAGTGGCATCACTGGTTAGTAGGGAACATCCTCGGTGGAGACATCTCCTCCGGCGAGGTCCTATCTGCCTACGTCGGTTCTGGCCCACCGCCAGAAACTGGTCTCCACAGATACGTGTTCCTCGTGTACAAACAACCAGGCAAACTGAGCTTCGATGAACCAAGGCTTCCTAACACGTGAGTGTCAACACACCACTGGTCATACATTCAATAGAGATAATATAATAAGATAATTTATATACATAGTACTTCTTTTTTATATGTATTAATTAGTGTAGTAGAGGATAAAAACGTTAATAAACATTACAAGTATAGATTAGTTATAGTTTTCAGAAATAAGTTTTCAGAAAAAATATTGTCAAATTTAATTATGCTAATACAATAGATATAAATTGTCTTAAATCATATTCATTTAAATAAATCTAATTTTTTTTCTTCCATTAAAACAATAGGTAGTATGCATAAAATTTTAAATAGCCTAAAGTATATTTTTTTCGAATACTAATTATCGTCATATTATAATGAAAAGGTCTTTTTATTTACTTATTATTTATACCCCTAAAATAATATTCAAAAAGTGCAAAATAAGGGAACGATATTCAAACTTCCAAAACACGCCAGCGAAATGAAAAGTGAAATTAAAAATTGAATTACAATTCAAAAGGAATTAATATTACCTAATTCTATTATTAATACTTTCTATGTTATATTTTCAGATCTGGCGACAAACGCGGTGGATTCTCCATTGCCAAGTTTGCTAAGAAGTACAATCTCGGTGACCCAATTGCTGGAAACTTCTATCAAGCCAAATATGATGATTATGTTCCCTTACTGTACAAACAGTTGGGTAACTGAGTTAGTTAGTAAGTTTAACAGTGTTAGCTGATCCTAGTTATGTAATCCTTCCCCATATTACTTTTCATATCATTCTGTATCGGTATCATTAAATATTCATTTACTTATACCTTAATACCATTTGAAGGAAAATTTTTCTCTATCAAATACATTCATGAAGAATTAATGATTAGTTTGATTTATTTATAATTAACTACCTTGATGTTTATGTCTGTACCAGTGGAACTTTCAAATGAATGGACAAATTTTGATGCAGTTTTTATCATTTAAAAGGCATATTCTGTGCAATGGTTATAAACAAAGTAGTATAAGACTATCAGCTCTTCATAATTATGGCCTTTTTTTGTATATAAATACTCGGTCAAGTGCTTTATACTAGTTTGTGTAATAGTTAAATGATAATGAAAGAATTATAAGTTATTCCTTCAGAATCCACCACAAAAAAAATATTTACAAAAATACCATTACATTACAACTTAATATATGCTAATATTCAATTAAATTTCTTTGTTTATTCAATTAAATTTGTCTATTCGTAAATCTCACATAAAAAAAACTTTGATGACACAAGTAAATACAATTTGAATTATAATTTAGGAACTATAAACAAAAATGGAGACAAAAATTACTTCATTATTAACGATAATTTGTTGTTATTAATTATTATAAATTAATATTCTTCTACTCCTTATACTGACTAATTGATGTACATTTTAATTTTATATCAGCAATGATTTTATTTATATGTATATTTATCGTTTTATTACGATCATAAAAACATAAATATATTTACAATTACAGTATATTGTATAGAAAACCCAATAATTACATAAAAATATAAAAATTTAACTAAAAAATATCTTAATTTAACTTTAACTGGACATATTTTACTAAACCAATTAATAAGATTATAATGACTACTTCATATATACAATCTAAAATCTAATTTAATAATTTAAAATATTGAGACAAAACTACATCTACATCTAAGGCAGACCCTGGCTATAGCTGGGAAATTGCCAGGTAGAAGAAGAAGAATATATTGAGACAAAAATAAAGAGGAGCTGTATTGACTAAAGGATGATTTGGCGGCAAGCTGTGGACTGTGGAGTCATGTGACGTTTTGTGGACAGAAGAGGGATTATTTAAAAAGTATATATAGGTATAATTATTCATTATTCTATCGATATTAGAGATAAACAAGTGATTTACGAAGAATTTTTAATGATTATTCTCTTTAAAAAATTCAATTGTGTCTTATAATTGAAGTATTAATTATATGAACATGGGAATCTGTTCCATTAACATAAGCGTGGTTTCTTAAAATATAACATTAATTGTAAGTGATTTAACTAGTAGTGAGCCAAAACAAATTCTGGTTTAATATATACTTGTGTCAAAGCGAATATATTCTAAAACTTTTGTGATGAAGGTCATAAGTAGGTATGTCAGAATGATAATAATAAATCGTATTTTTCGACTCGCCTCGTTGCATTCAATTAGTTTCTGGTTGTTCTACTAGATGGCGTTGATAAAAATTTTATATAAATCCGTACAAGTTGTCAATTGGAAAGATAGTACGTATGTTTACGAATTACGTGATTATAGAAAAATAGGGTCATGGTTTTCGAGTGTATGAATGTATATTTGTTTTTCTAAATTAATTTAAATATTTTCTATGCGTCTTACCAATAGAATGGTTACTGACTTGAGAGTTTTACTAAATACATCAATATTAAAAATAAATAAAGATAAGAATTATTGTCTTCAAAACTTTATCTTGATATATACATGACCTTGGTTCTTTATCGGAGCTTGGGGTAGGAAATATTAATAAACGGTATACTTATTTTAAAGTATTTAACTGCAATATAAAGACATTTTCTTATTATTTTTACGGTTCTTTAACAGATGCCTAAGATGTCCTTTCATTAAATTTACTAATACCCATAACCCATCAAAGCATTCTTAGTCGAATCACGAGTGTAAATATAAATATAAAGGTACATTTTTAAATTTTAGGTAAAAAAGTGACAACATTTTACTTCATATAAAAAACAAAACCGACTCGACCCATATTATCTTAAATTTTATTATTACAATAATCGTACACCTCGCCAGCCACAACACTATCTAATAAAATAAAATGCTTTGCGGTTTTTATTAGCAACATGACATAACATTATTTTAAAATGTTTCAACAAAATATATTAAAATATGGCGCTGTGAGTGCAACAGATAATATTTAAATCATTATTTTTTTTTAGATTCATTACATGTTGATAAGATCAATGGTCATTATCTATAAAGATAAAAACAACAACACGTAAATAAATGTGATAATGTTAAAAAATGTTTTTAATCCAAAAACATCTTTCTTATCCCATGATAACTCACACGTTTTTGTGATAATTAATATCATTAAAGTAAAAACAAATTAAATTTTATTAAAAAGATGCCTCGAATGATAACGAAGACATAACTTTAAGCATTAGTTTAAATAAACATTACATGGGAGGTTCTAGAAAAATCTGAGAAATAGTTTAGGCTTAACTAACTTTTTTTCACGGAAAACTTTATTTGCAAGATTTAAAAATGGCGTATTTGTCAGACGCCATTTTTAAAGATGTCGCTCCTAAATATGCGTACTCTAACAAAAATGCCAATTTATATTTATTTTATATATAATATAGATTCTATGGAGGTTTTTGAATAACACAAAATGTATATATAATAATTATTTATTGTTTAAACTCCCAAACTCTTGTATAGAAGTGGCACATAGTCGTCAAACTGTGCCCTGTAGAAGTTGCCAGCGACTGGTGCACCGAGGTTGTATTTTTCAGCGAACTTCTTCGTGGAGAAGGCGGCGCGTCCGTCAATCGATCTGATAAAAGAAATATTTAATAATTAATAAGTATTTTAATATAAACTACGTCAATATAAACGGAATGTTATCTAAAAATAATCAATCAAAAGATCACGTGTGACAGAAAATCTCATAACGTAATTTTTTTTTCTTATCTTGCCTCCGATCCACAGAATAATGCCAAACTAAATAATGCTTTTTTGGACATAGATCCATTGACATAAATTTATACATAAAAATTTAAGTGTCATTTACAGAATATTAATAAAATATACATAGTACATACTAGACACAAACATCGGATTATTTTTTTTTACAAATTAATGCCTTAAGCATATTTGTACGTCATCAGCCTATCAACGCCCACTGCTAAGCAAAGGCCTCTTTCTCACATGGAGAAGGTTTGAGCATTAATCACCACGCTTGCTCAAGACGGGTTGGTGATTTCAAACTTATAATTGTGAAACTATAAGTCCAGGTTTCCTCACGATGTTTTCCTTCACCGTAGGTCAGTGGTGTCTAAATAACCTCAGAAAGTACATATGATTCCCAAAAATCACATTGGTACTTGCCAGGTTTGAACCCGCGCCCTCGGCAACGAGAGGCGGACCCTTTAACCACTAGGCCACCACTGACTATTTGTACATTCTTCTAAAATTAAATTATTTTCTATAATCCTGGAACAATGTGGTTATTTGTAGGAATAAATGAATAATGTATGAACAAGGAGAATACTAGAATGTTCGTATATAAAGACAATACTTACTTGTTGTCAAGCCTCTTTTCGTCGAACTCGAGTTTTCCAGGCTGTTTGTACAGGATGTACACGTATCTGTGGATGCCGGTGCCTTCCGGGGGACCGGAACCGATGTAGCCTGACAGCACCTCACCCTTGGCGACGTCACTTCCGGGAATGTTGACTACCAGCCAATGATGCCACTCACGGTAGACTAACTCAGGACCATCGTAATTATCCGGATCTAGAGTATATATATTGGTTAATGATAATTAAGTTTTGATTATGATTTTTTTCTGTTTGTAAGCTTTAAAAAATTTAATACAACATTTTTTTACGTGCATTATATATAAACCACAATCTTAGAAATTGTCTGTCTTATTACAGTCGTACTTATTAAAATAAACATATATTAAAAATAATTTATTATCAATTTTCTACTATAAACTGAACTTATTGTTGATTTATATGTAGAAAAAGGGAGAAATTTTCTCCATTTATTCATTACCAGTGAATACTAAAGTGTAGAACGCATTAGGATCAGCTTTGTAGGAGACAGAAGGCTGGTCCTTTACTTTTGTCGGAGCAAGTTCATTGCCCAAGTTAGCGGAGACACCGCTGTTATATTTCAGCTGAAAGAAATAAAAATATATGTATATGAAGTTAGTTCTATATATATAACTTTAATATTTTAATAATGTAAAACATTATCAAAATACAGAAGACTATTAAGTTCTTTGCTTTAACGGTTTTCCTTTCGTTAATTAAGGTTGATCTTTTAAATAAAACTAAGATTTTTTGAATATACTAATGTCACGACATTCACATTTCATCTATCCGTGATCACGGTTGCATAAAATTAACCGAAACGTCGGGAGTATGTAGTTTTTATCAAAAATAAAGTCGCGTAGTACATCCGAAAAAATTAGTTTCATTTAAATGAACAAAACTCACGCATGCCTTAGATCTCATTAAGATTGATCTTAAACCAAAAGTTTTGGTAAAACAATATGAACAAAATTTATTTCTTAATGCATTACCAAAAAATATGAATGTATATATTTAATTATTATCAAATATGTTGATTCTTTTTTAAATCTTATTTCAATCACAATTAAAACCTCTTTTTTCTCTTAAATTACATAACTTTATATTGCCCAATAAATTATTAATAGCTAATTATATAATTATTGGAACTTTGTTATGAAGTATTCGCCTAGTCAAAATTTTATATTTTTTTACGTACCTCAATCAATTCCTTGGGGGCAATCGGGATGACATCTGGGACTATCTTGCTAACTTCAAATGCGTTTGAAACAGACATATTTACTACAAAAAAATATACATATATATTATACAAAATATTTTTAACCGCAGAATAATGTCAGGAGTTTTGATTATGAAACCTAAATACTTCGATGTAAGAAAATGTTATGTTTTGTGAAAAGACGTATACAAAACAAGTTCCTAAAAATATTAAGTAATAATGCTAGTACGAGCAAATTGAACACTATCGATTACCCAAAATGTGAAATTTGTATGAACTTTAATTCTATTATATATAAAAATATTAATTTTAACCATTTTAATAATCTCACCTAGGTTTGCGTTCGGTGCTTGCGAAAATCTCTCGTCGACTGACCGAATATAAGAATTTTATATTCACTGTCAAACATCGATAAGAATATTCTTTAATTACAATTGTTATATTTATGATAACCCTCTGTTAAGTAACATTATTATATTTCTTTATCATCGATAATTATGACATCTTATAGTAAATATACATGCTTCGTAATCTTCTCGAAACTGTAAAATTTTAATACTGTTTTTTCTTGAAATCTACATATTTATTCTCATATTTACTTATTATAATTAACAAGTTAGTTATAGCTTAGATTAATGTATGGACTGGGAGTATATATATACTATTTGCGTTGAAGATTGATTAGTTATTTAATACCTAAATCACTTTATGTAGTAGGAGTTGGCTCGGTCATACTAAACACCAATCGTTTGTACGTATAAGGACCAATGACTTAACAATTAGTTTTTAAGTTTAGCTTTTGAAATGAAAAACCCATCCGTGACCATTTTAACTGAGAGGCTGTTTCTGGAATCTTCTTCGTATTAATACATGATTCGAAAACTTTATAAACCCTTTTGTAAGAGTTTTGAATGAACGATGTACGTTGAATTCAAAGATTATATTGAGAGGAATTGCATACAAATATTTTTATACTTAAAATTTACATAGTATTCCAATTCTATTTAGTCGAACTAATTAAAAATTAAACTAGTTCGCTTTTTTTAAATTAATTTTAACATTATACGAAAAGTTACTAATTAATTATTATTACGTAATTCAGTATGTATGTTTTTAAAATTGAAATAAAATGCCCTTCTAACGAAAATTGGGATATTTGTTTATTTTATATGTTAAAATTTAAACCACACGTTCAAGATAAACAATTTATTATTTTTAAAAACACATAACAATTTAACAATAATTACTATGATTATAAAGACGAGATTTATAACACGTTACAGAGGAATTAATATTAAACATTCATAAATAGAAAACAAGATAACCACATAGAGTTATCTCAAGAAAATAAAATTACCTATACATTTAATAATAAAATACTTAATGGCGTCTTTATATGCTAAGATTACAAGCAATTATATAATTACGGAATAATATATAGTTTTAACGCATTTTTGTTGGTTAAAACTGTGTAGTTTGCGTAAATTGGTATCAGTAACTTAGTACGAGTCTGCGTCGTCACACTACATACGGATCGTTTTTCGTTTATTTACTTTAATACTATACGTAGTTTTATTAATGACAAATTTTGATTCCGTATGTAGCGTGACGAAGCAAAGCTTAAGTAACTTGAAGTTTGTTAGATACGAGATGAACCTTTCTATAGATTCGATCATAAGTTAGGTTAGGCTAACCTAACTTAGTATAGATGCTTATGCAACGCATGTGCACATACCGCTACCTTTCACAATCTGTAGAATCACTTATTGTTTAAGAATGACACACAGAAAACCTCAGTAGTACAGAAACCTACATATTTAAATGAGCCAATAATACTTGTTAAATTTCTCGATAATAATTCATTATTTACATATAAAACTTACAATCTATTAAATAATATAATATATTCTCATCATTATGTACAAACGAAACTGACCGACAATCAATCTTTATAAGATTGGTGGCATTTCATCAATCTTTGGATTCCATACATCATCAGACATCAGTGCACTTTGGGCTTTTGAAATCATATTCAGTTACATATAATTTACAAAGCCGTGGACATCCCACACTGACCGCTCTCACACAACTCTTCATTATAATGCCAGTCAATGTGAATCGTTCGTATGTCAGGTCAGAATCTGATTATTTTATGGTCTTCAGATTATTTCAATACAAAAAAATCCATTAAAACGCCTTAAATTACGATCGAAATACTCATATATGAATTCTTTAAGCCACGACGGTGAGGCGGTTAGTAGTTAAAACATTTAGCTCGAATTCCCGGCCCTTGAGACAGCTGTTATTTAACGCTTTATAAAGAAGTTAAGTAATTACATTGTTAAATAAAACGAATATTTAATATGTGGAAGCTTTGAGTGAGGTTCATCAAGAGATTACCAAGTTTTTGAACTATTAAAAGAAAAGACGAAAGGTTTTTATTGATGGATCAAACTACTTGGACGGTAGCGAATGCGCTGAATGTGACTTTCTTGGGAGGCTCCGCGCTACACGTCCTCACTATCGGCCGCTTGTCGTTCTTCAAGACCGGCTTCAAGGTAACATCTTGACTCCTGAACCGTCCTATAGTGTTACCGCTGCCGAGATCCCGTAACTTATTCGTCAAACCCGTTATTCTGTTCGAGATGATGCTGTAGTTCTTCTTCTCCTGTTTCTTGGGCTCGCTCAATTTCTTCGGTATCTCTAGACTCTGTAGCGATGTGAATTTCCTATGATCTGTGCTGAGGTTTCTCTTTATTTCTGGGCTGAGTCGCGGCAGTCTTGGTCGTTGGAGGAAGTTGTTGGGTCTGAAGGGCGTCGGAGTGAGTTTTGGCTGATCGCTGGTGAGACGGAAGTATTGGGGCACTGGATCTATTCTTTGGGGCTTCTTCAGCGTGAGCGCCATCGCCATCTTCGTGGGACGCGCGAGACTGTCGAAGGCTGTGGTAGAAAACTGCGAGCGACTGGCTCTCCATTCTTCTCTGTCGGATTCATAGCCGTTGTTGACTGAAATGTGATAAAATAAAGAATTACATACAAGTTATAACAGAAGTATATTCCTTATATAAAACATATACTACTAATGTATCTTAATTGTATATTTCGTCCCAAATAATCTCTCACCCTAACAAGGCGAGTGTGATATCATATAGTATATGATAAATCTGTTGTTCATCATTACATCACAAACGCTGCACACTATCATTAATTCAAGACGCATTGTTTCCGCGCCGCCTCGCATACAGATTGTCCCGTGACCTAGACTGTAACGAGGTCTTTAAAAGGAAAATGTCATAACCTTCGATGGAACACGAGTTTTTCGATAATAATTTAAGAAACTACTTCTATACAAGTCTTCCTTCATGTGTATGTACATATTATTAATATAAAAACGACCTAGAAGTCCTAAAACATAAAACAAGTCGAAGGACTAGACTAGGACTAGATTCAGAAGTTTTATTTCAAATAAAAAATAGGTTAAACTATAAGCACCCTCTTTATATTTTTCAAATATATTAATATTTATTAAAGCTTTATGTATTTCTAATGATATGTACAAAGTTGTTTTCTTGTGTTTGAGGCACGTTTAGTGTGAAGAGAGAAGGCTTAACGAATTACTTAAATAAGTGTTGGTACACAAAATGGCTATGTTTTAACAAGATCTTTCTTGTACCAGGTATTTCTTTTAAACTACAATACTTATATTACTAGGAAAATATATATTGTTATAATAAGTGATATATATAATGTTTGAATGTATATTGTTAGAAAAGTTTTGATCTAACGAGTCAATTATATATTAAATACATAAACAATATATATTTATAGCGTCATCTATATATATAGAAGATATGTATGATATGTTTTTGAAATGATTTTTATTACATTTCATCCATAAACAATTTTATGTGATTTTTTTATGTCTGACCCCGTCCTGACTTTACTGATAATAAACTTATCTATAGATGCGTATTTAAAATATTATTTTTAATGGAAACACTTGTATACAGTTTCTAAAACTATAAAAGTCTGGTTTAATAAATAATACTTTTTAAATCCTAAATCTATTCTAGGATGACCTATAAATAACTTGCTTTTGATTATATAAATCCATACTTCATTTAAAATGTTCTCGTTAAAATATTTGTGTTTTATACACAGTCGAGTTGCTAGCAAAATAATTATTGGTATGTGGATACTATTGTAAAACAATCGCCCATTACAGTTGAGTGTTCATAAAATTCGTAATAATAAATTTACAAATCATTTGTGATGGATGGCGTTAAAACGTACAGTGTTTAAGTAATCGTGTAAGCACGTACTAAAGATTATTATTATATATTCTCTTTTGTTCACATCATCCAATGGGTTTAATAAAACTTAAAAAAAGACTGTGTTTGGTATTTTAAAGTGAAAGACATATTCGATTTATTACAGAAAATGGCGACGACAGATATACAAAAAATCACTTCAATCTTTGACGTATGTATATGGCGGGAAAAACAAAAATTATATAGTGACAAGACTGTAGTTAATGTTTATAAAATATTGTAATATGTTCTCTATAAAACATAGTTTTAAATTATATTCGATTTATATATAATATAGTTTTTATATATCTGGTATATTGATAGGAATATTATACCCAGCAAGCAATCCTCGCGGGAACTGTAGCCGCCCTTCATGCACGGCTTGTGACACCGCTATCGTCTTACTTGATGAATGTGATGTATTGAGAACACTACTATAGTATTACTATACTATTATTACATCAATATGATTTGGATTTATTGAATACTATACAAGAATTAACCTATAATTAATGTGAGGTTGAGAAACGACGTAATTATTGTCGACAATTCTATTATAATCTCAAACGTAGTCACAGAAAGATGCATTTGCTATGAAAAAATTTACAAAATTATACCTAATTATATATAAAAGTGGGCTTTATATATATTAAAATTTATTTTTTTATATATATTGATTAAAATGCTATGATTTTTATCGTTTATAAAGTAAATACAGGCTGATGTTCTAACGGTATGTATTTGAGATTTATAGAAAACCAGGTGACACACACTAGCTGGCGAAACTCCAGGATACTAACATCTATCAAGTTAATCTTTATCACACATCTTTGCTTGTATATTGTATACTTAGCTTTTTTTAAACTATTTTAAACAAATTTTCTAATAGTTCGATATTTTTGGCCTAAAATTAATTAAATAGTAGTCCAGTCACCTGGAAAGTTTTCCGGGAGTTTTGCAAACTTTTCTAATTTCAACAACTCGGAAAGATGACCAAAAAACCGTTTTTAGGCGCCATTTTTTCAATATGGCGACGTGAGTGAGAAATTCGAAAAGTGCATACCGAAATCTATAAATCCACCAATTTTCAAAACTCCCAGAACACTTTCCAAGTAACCCCATTTTTTTTCACCACTTGACCGTATTATAGGTCGACACTCGACTGCCGTGTATTTGTTCTCGCTCCTATTTCCCAAGCCGTCCTTCTAATTAAGTTCGAACAAACATTGTATTGATGTCATATCAAATACGAGTAACCTCAGTCTTATTTGAACTATACGTTTAGTTGTAAATACTCGTACATGGCTCACGTATACATTTTTGGGACGTACGTGTTTTAACAACGAATGCTTTTTCAACATACACTATAAATAAACTCATGAAATAACTTGAAAATATATTAAAGATTCTTTTTTTTATTAACTGTCATTATGACGTAAAAAAAATATTTTAATTCAACAGATAATTAATGATTTATGTTACTCTGTATCTGTGGAGAACGTTTAAAAGTCATTTCGTTATTGTTTAACACGAATAGTAATTATTAGTAATTTATGTATAGCCTCTAATTACCGCACTCAGCTGTTTCGTCAAATGACAAAATGTATGGGTGAATGACACTTGAGACTTAAAATATATTAGAAATTCACGCTTGGGAACATTATAAAAAACTTAATTTATTAACATTCATAGTTTTCATTCTGATTAGCAATTATAATAACTTCGCACGTAATATAAATATTTTAAATGTCAAATATATTTGTATAAAGTTGTACGTACGTAAGCTCACAACAAACAATGCCTTGGTTAGCTAATTGTGCATCTTCCCAACGGATTATGCTCGTCTCGTTACGCAAAATTACATAATACATACAAAATATTAACTAACCTTTATTACTGACGGTCCACAGATTGCTGTTCGGGCTTGTTTTTTTCGTCTTATTATCCCTGAATACGAGAATATCCTGGATCTTATTGTGCTTTTTGTTTTTGGGTGCCGCGTCAGGCGACCTCTCTACGTTGACCCTCACGAATTCACCTTTCAATACTTTCGGTGTGTCTTTATTAAGCGGTGGTGGCGGGGGCGGTGCCTTCGTCTTTTTGTGGAACAGTCGTTTTTTCTCTGGTTTATTCTGTATTTCCAGATCAGTGTATATAACTCCGTCCGTCTCTCCGTCTCTCAAGTCATTCCTCAAGCCGATCAGACTCAAGGGCTGGTCGTATCGTGACGATCCTTTCTGTTGGACAGATATGTGTGTCACACCTTCGTTATCAACAGTCTGCAGGTCGAATTCCGATTTTGTTTTACTGACGAAGTTATAATCGTCCACACTATTTATTTTGTTATAACTATCGTTTTTCTTTTTAACGAACAGACTATCAGTACTGTAATGATTGGCTGCGTTCTTCGTGAGTCTGTTCCGCATCTTGAAGTACTTGTAAGTGAAGTATATTCGTTTGAAGTCCTGTTCGTTCTCGAACCTCAAAGCGAGCGCCTCCCTGCCGTGATTCCTCGTGATGTAGAAGACCAGTGTGTTCTCACAGTTATTGTAACTCTCTATATTGATACAATTGGTTATATCATCCACTGATATATTCTCCTGTTTAACTTTCTCATAATCTTTTATTTTCTTATCATCATCACCATCATCTTTCTTCATCAGCTGTAACTGATCCTTCTCATTGAAGCCCACTGTCACGTTGTAGGTGTATGTTTTGTTGATGGCCGCTATATCTATATGTTGGTTCGTTGTATGTAGCTTCTGCCTCGCGACTATCGCCGCCTGCCCTCCAGATCGACTGCCCTTCTTCACAGTCATTATTCAACTGGAAAGAAATACATACAAATTTATACAATGTCTTTTTTGTTAGTATTAATATGATATAGGTGTATGTTTGTGTGTATTCTTATTTATTAGCGGGTTGTAGTCATAAACATTTACAGTAGAAAGTGAGAGCGCTCCGTGAGTCCATCGTTAGTATGAAATCGTTCGACTATCATTTATTTACTCAACAATGTTTCACTTCGACGACCAAAACTTATAAACGGGAACGAGTTTTAAAGGTAATATATCGAAAGAAGGATATTGAAAATAAATGTAGCAAATTTATCTTAAAATAATGATTTTTATCGAAAATATTCATAAAGAAAATAATTATCAACTAAACTAAAACATATTAACGGAGAAAAAGTAATTAATATTTGATACAATTATTAACTTTTTTGACATCCAAAAAAAATACAAAGATGGAAATTTCGAGAATTTTCCGTACTTTAGTAAAAACTGCTGCAATTCATAGCTTTCTTAAATTCAAACAAAAGATGACAATAAAACATATTGTGTTCATATTGAATCAATATTGCAAAAACGAGACTGATATCTAAAGGGTTCTTATTTAATAGAAATATGACATACATATTATGACGATCCAAGCTTAAAGAAATAATAGAATAAAACCTAAAATACATCTTATTATTATATATTATTATTATTATTATATATGTTACGGAGAAAGCATTTTATTCTAACAAAAGAACAAACAAGACGATGGAACATCTGAATGTTCCTACCTCATTGTATTCAAATAATACGTTAAGTTGCAGGAGGTAGCGAATAATAGAATATTAAGAATAATATTACTTCATTATGAAGTATTTAAAATCAAAATTCAGTAGAATATTAGTTACTAAGTCATATATATGTAATTATAATACAACCAAAAGATGTTTTCTTTTTGAATGGAACGTTATTTAATATATTATATATGTATACTAGCTGACCCGGAAAACGTTATTTTGACATATAAAAAATAATCTTTGGTGGAAAAAAGGTGAAATTATTGGGTTGTATGTATTTTTAATGCCACCGTATAAAAAATTAAAAACCAAAAATTAAAAAAACTAATTTTCGGGGTGAATAATCTTTATCACTTAGGTCGCCGTTTCTCAGAACTACTGAATATGTATATAAAATTTGGTAAAAATTGCTAAAGCCGTTTCGGTATGGTAACTAACATTATGACATGGAAATTATATATATTAGAAATATATTTATAATTCTTAGGAAATGTGTATTTATTCAGGAACAAAATTATCGGAAGCAATAAAATAATAAAATAATTTCGATCAGCTTGTCACTTGAACCGAATACGGATATTGATAGAAAAATAACTATAAATCTATTGTGCTTCCGACATCAACGTTTCAATGAGACACGGAAAATTATTAGATTTCTTTTATAAATATATATATGACTTTAGCGTTATAAAATAAAAGTTACTTGTGATAAAGATCATTATGTAATTAATTATTATTAAGTGTAATGATATTAAAATCCAGTTGTTGATTGTAACGGCGGCCATTCTATCAAGATGGTTACAAATAAGTTTTAACAATTGTCTTCTTTATCGTGATCATCTAACATTCACATAGATTCAGCCACAATGACAATTCACACGATTACACTCGTGTTTATGGTCTCTTAAATATTTAAAAAGAAATTCAAATTAAACAGCGATAATTACTTATAAAACGCTAGTAAAATATTTTTATTTATTATAAAGAAAAATACGATTTAAATCATTGTATGTAAATGATTATAGTTTTCATATTTAATCTGTGTAAATATAACATATAATATAAATTTTACCGCCTTATTTTTAATCTACATTTATATTTAACTTCGTATAAAATTAATAAAATGGCCGACTAATAAATAAGGAAAATACTGATTATTGTTGTTTTGTACAATTCCGTTTTAATTTATGAATATTTTTATAGTGGTCTATAAAGTTCGAGTTTAATTTCCTTTCGGTACATAAAAATCGTGTTTTAATTAGCGAGTGAGACTGTTTTATTGCATTTCTTCAACCTTAGCCTAGTGTTCTAGTGATATTACCATTTAAAACGCAAGACTTTTATGGTCAGATGATATGACAACACTAGGCCAGAGCAGACATAAACGGAAACGAATTTAATATACAACCTTCTTCTTCCGAGTTTAAAAGTAAGGTTGTAGAAAAAAGTTTCTATATCACCTTGTCCTACGTCCATATAGAGGGTGAGGCCGGAAGGAGTCCGCCTTGACAATATTTTTATTAATCTTTAATTGCGAAAGTTTATATCCATCTGTAGAGTTTTCAGTGCTACAACGACATATTGAAATTATATAAAATATTTTAGTGATCTGTCACACGTATGTGACATATGTCAAACGACTGTTTACAATATTTAAACGTCAATTAGAATAAAATATATCAAATTCATTTAAAATCAAAACAAAACTTAATTATTTTATAACATAAATATTATTTATGTGCTAGTCTGTGTAGACCTGAATTTGCAGCAAAAAATGCAGTACATGCAGTGTGACATATATAATTAAAAATAATGTTATTACACATAACAAACATATGAGAAATGATAATTTTTAGGTTAAGGTTAGGCTCGGATCACATTGAGTACAGCCTTTACTTACAATTAAAAAAAATAAGGCTTTGAACAGACAATTATAACGAATTAACGAGTGAAATGTCATCGGAAACTTAGGGTTCAAACTTCAAAGTAACATTACGTTATCGTCTCAAAAGTTTCCTACAATTAAGTAAAGCGATATATATATGTGATATTTTTAAATTGGCTCTAATCTTGTAATATAATGGGTGAATCAAGTACTTTCTACACTATCTTTGAGATAGCATGTGAATGCACACACAATACACATTGTGCAATAACAAACTTATATGTGCGGGTGACATGTTACATGTCGGGAACTATATGTTAACAAAACTTGCTCCGGCGAGCGTATTTTATAATTTTGCAAACTATTCGACGTACATTTTGTACTCTCCTGTAGAAATATAGACTTTATATCTGTTTGTCTGTATGTAACGAGCAATTTAAATGTCTGGACAAATTAGTCGAGTGTTGCCATGTGTGTGTAAATGTGTGAGTATTTAATACAAGACGCGGGTCACAGATAAAATATTGTTTACTATAAAAAGATCTTTTATGTATTGGCTTTTAATCAATACAGAGTATATTTGACAATTACATTGAGCACATACGAAATTAATTTTTAAAAATATATCTCTATTTAACTTGATATTATCTGTAGTTCTTAATCATTGAAGGCTTAACAAAATAAAATAAAAATGTACTTTTATGACAATTTCCACGTAAATATATAAGTGTAAACTAAGACCTGTGTTAGTATATATTAAATTAGAAACTCCACATATTTGAGCACTCCTTCAGACGTGTTCTTACATTTATCACTCATTCGATACTTTCTCTAACTTATTTCAAGTAAGTCTTCCCGGCCGTCTCTCACACCGTAGTGTAAATTTATTTTAAATTTGATACAAATCGTCACATGGTACTTGTCGATCAGCTTGCATTACGGAAGAAGACTTTCACCGTCTCCCTTACCATCCTTCCTTATTGAAGAAAAACATTAAAATAATAAACTAACATTCGTATTACTTATTACTTGTTGATATTATGGTAAAAGGAAAATATTTTCTAGTATATAATTATTTAGGATAAAGATCATTTTAATTATTTACTATAATATAACATATTGTTGATTAACAATGATCATTCTGCCAGTATAAAATAATTAAACATTCCCGTCGGTGTAACATGCAGTCACTATTTATTAATGTTAACAAGACGATGTCGTGAAAGAACCTCAGTTACACCGCCGAATATATGTTCTACGTTCTTAAACAAACTATGACATATTTGTAACTTACAAAAAATATTAAAATAATAAGCGGTTACGATTTCTTCCTCAGGGTTACCGACACGACACGGAGACGACACAATATTTGTAAATATATGCAGTAGATTTAACTACACCTTTGATTTAAAACTAAGTACAACGTTAAAAATATGTATTAATAAAAAGTAATCGTACTTAAAATAACATAAAATACAAAAAAAATTGTTATACATTTTATATTCAGTCTTTTAAAGTATATTAAAAAGAAATATTTAAACGTTGATCGTCTACGAATTATAATTATTAATTATATTGAAATTCTGATATATTTTAAATATTTCTAATAAAACGCTTCCATTTAACAAAATAATAAAACCCATATAGATATATTTGCATATAACATTAATAAATATTTACTAAATGTATGACAACTGATAAAATTTTCTTTATTAATGACAGAAACGCCATTCGTTTTAAACAAGTTTGATTTTGACATTAAGGATGTCAGCGTGACTTTAGCTGTGGCATCCAAATTAAATTCCATTTTCATAAAACATGCAAATATGCATTATTATTTAGTTTTAATTCAGATTTTAATAATAAATTTTCAAAAATATTTAATTTCTCTTCATTTTATTCATTTCGAGAAAGCTAATTATGTATGTATTAATAGTAGTAATCGCTATGGAAATTCTTTTGGTAATATAATAGCTTTCAAAAATCTCAATAGATGCAACTATATAGAAATAATTATTAATAATATTAAAATTTTCGATAAATTTAATGTTAAGTCATGAAAACAGCAAATGTCAAATATTTGAAAAGTTTCATTAATATCATGAATCTTCAATCAAGTTTTAATTAACGTTCTGTTTGGAAATCTTGGAAAATATATATAAGAATAACTTCAACAGGTAATAATAATGTTTATATATAAAATGTATTCTGTAAATTAGCATCGAGTATTGGATATTAAAATGCTTTGAAAGCGCCATCTAACGGAGAGCATGTGACGTCAGAACAGGAAGCAAGCCGCGCCTCGCGTTGGAGGCAAATTGATGCGCTATGCACTTCGGTGGTCCGTTCCCATCGTT